AGAGCATGGGCCTGGCGCCCATTGTGCTGCGCAGCTCGCTCATGCAACGCCCGCCAGGCCAACAACAGCCGGCTGCTGGAGGGGGCATAGTGCCGCCCAACCGCCCTCCCACGCCCTCCCATGGGGCGCCTGCTGCTGCTGCTGGGTCCTCCCACCTCCCTTCCTTCAGAAAGGTATGTTTTAAAGGAAGAAAACTGGAAATATGCCTCTTGCCTGTGAGACGACTTTTGAGGCGCCTCAGAAGTCTCCTCCTGCTGCTGCTGCTGCTGCTGCTGCTGCTGCTGCTGGGTCCTCCCACCTCCCTTGTTTCAGAAAGGTGGGTGAAGGAAAGAAAGAAGAGGCGAAACATTGGTGTGGCTTTCTTACCTTCATGCTCCATCTTTCTTTACTCTCTTTACATCCGTCCCCAAACCTCCTCCTCCTCTCCTTGCTCCCATCCCATCTCCGTCTGTCAGATGTGGCCCCTTGTCATTCAGTCTCTCTCCTCCTTTCGTGTTTTCCTGTCTGCCGTTCTCTCTCCCTGCACAGGAATCCATGGCGTCTGCAAGCGGGCCGCTGCTCGCTGCCTTTTGAGTCGACTCAAAAGTCACCTTGTTCCTGTCTGCCGTTCTCTCTCCCTGCACAGGATTCCATGGCGTCTGCAAGCGGGCCGCTGTCCGCTGCAGCAGCACCCTCCCCTCGTACCTCCTCCACATCCTCCTCCTCCTCGGGCCCCCTCCCCTCCCTCCACTCCTCGTCCTCCTCCTCCTCCCTCATCTCTGCTGCTCCCCTCACTCCCTCAAAAGGGAATCCAATTGCGTCTGTGCCAGGGGCAGCAGCAGCAGCAGCAGGGACAGGGACAGGGGCAGCAAGAGTGGGTACAGCAGCGGCTGTAGCAGCAGCAGGGGCGGGTGGATTGGTGAAGGTGCAGCTGGGGCAGCAGGGCACTCGGCGGACTTCAGTGCAGGTGAATACTGGAATGAGGTGAGAGCTCAGATGAATGTTAAAATGAGATGACACTTCAGGTGAAGAGCAGGATAAGAGTTATTATGACTGCCAGTGTTGTGGACTGCCTATTGCTGCCTGTGCTCCGACTTATCTCCTCTTTCCTCCTAACTCGCACACATGAGCGCGCGCACACGCGCGCACGCAGGAGTGCATGCACGCACGTGCATCCCCATGCACACTTGCAAACGCACGCACACACACTGACACACGCATGCGCGCATACACACACACGCGCACACACATGCACACACAGCCACGCACACTCACATGCATGCATGCACGCACACTCACATGCTCTCTCTTTCTTGCCCCATTTTCTCCCTTCCATCGGACCCCTTCTTCCATCAGGTCTCCTCCTCTCCCACTTCGGCCCACTCCACTCCCACAACACCAGCTGCAGCAGCAGCACCAGCAGCAGCAGGTGGGGGAGCAGGTTCAGGGTTGCTTGTGACTCCTCGCACGAGGAGACACCTCAACGCACAGCAGCAGCAGCAGCAAAGCCTGCTACAAAGGCAGCAGCTGCAGAACCAGCAGCAGCAAATGCAGCTTCTGTTGCAGCAGCAGCAGCAGCAGCAGCAGCAGCAGCAGCAGTTGTTGCATCGGCGGTCGTCCGTCTCATCGTCTCGCACCCAGCCATCGGTGTGTTTGCGTTCCTTTCCCCGTCTTACAGTGCTCGTAACCCAAATATTACAGCCTTAATGTTTCTTGTTTTAATTATTGTTATCTAGAAACACTACAACTCTACTGTGTCTGTCCAGCCCACGTGTCATGCGCGCTAATGTGCTCCTCTCTCTCACTACCTGCGTGTGTCTCTGTCTCCCTGTTGCACACACCTCTACTTGTCTTGTCCCTTCGCCTTGGCTTGCTACTTTCGGACCCCCTCCCTCCCACTGTCTCCCAAATCTCTTCCCCCCGTCCTCCCGTCCTCCCCGCACCCCTCTCCGCCCGCTCCGCTACTCACGCCCACAAGCTTGCCTCTGAATCACCAGTAGGCCCTCAATATATATCTGCTGTTTCTCTTTTGAGAATTCTCAAAAGTGATTACCAAGGAGTTTCACTTCTCTCATACTCCATCCTATCCTTTCATTCCCTCCTCCCTCCCCCTTCCCTTTCCCCCCACCATTTCCCACATCCACCATCCCGTTCCCCCTTTTTCCATACTCCCCTCTCCTCTCCACCAATCAGAGTCCGTCCGTGGCGTCCCTCAGGCCCATAAAGGTGTTGTCCTTTGAGACACCTCAAAAGCCGTTTCCCCTTCTTCCCCCGTTCTCCCCCCACGTCTACCCCCCCTTCTCTTCCCGCCTGCTCCACCAATCAGAGCCCGTCTGTGGCGTCCCTCAGGCCAGTGAAGGGTGTCGTCCTTTCCTCCTCCTCCTTCTCCTCCGCCTCCCTCGCTCGCTCCCTGCTGCCGCCCTCCTCCATGCCCTCCCTCTCCTTCATGCTCCAAAGCATATCAAACCAGGTACGCCCTGCCCTAGAAACGCCCTAGTTTTGAGATGCCTCAAAAGTCAAACCAACAGGTACTCCCTGCCCTAGAAACGCCCTATTTTTGAGACATCTCGAAAGTCAAACCAGGTACACCCTGCCCTAGAAACGCCCTAGTTTTGAGATGTCTCAAAAGTCAAAGAAGGTACACCCTGCCCTAGTTACCCTAGTTCTGTCCCATCCGAGTTCACCAACCATCCCTGCAGCAACACACTCATCTATTTAGTTGAGCATCCCTGCCATCTGTACATTCTCCCTACGATCCTCTCTGCATTCTTATTCGACCTAAAACATCCACCCTCTCGTTCTCTCTCATCCTCACCCACCGCCTCACCCTCCCCGCACCGACCTGTGCAGCCTCCCTACCTTCTATGCACTCGCTGCCCTCCACCAGAATCCTCGCTGCCCTCCACCAGAATCCTCGCTGCCCTCCACCAGAATCCTCGCTGCCCTCCACCAGAATCCTCGCTGCCCTCCACCAGAATCCTCTCTGCCCTCCACCGTCCTCTTCTCTACCCTTGCTTCTTGGACTGCCTAAACAACTCTTTTTCTTGCCTTACTGTTCATGCTTCACCCCCCATTCCTCCCTGCAGCCTTCCAGCCGAGCATCCCTGCTTTTGGTGCACTCGCTGCCCTCCACCATCCTCTCTCTCCCCCGTCTCCTGGGCCGTATAAACAACTCTCTGTCTCTACTGTTCATGCTTCACCCACCCATCTCTCCTAGCAGCCGTCCAGTCGGGCCTCCCTGCCATCGGTGCACTCGCTGCCCTCCACCATCCTCTCTGCGCCTGCTCGCTCCTCTGCCTCCTCTGCCTCTGCTGTCTCCGATGCTCTTATTGTGGTTCCCCACTTGAGAGCGTTACTCAGGCATGCTTCGGAGCAGCAGGTACACTCTGCTCTGCTTTTCTGTGCTGTGCTCAGCTCTCCTTTTCTGCGCTGTGGTGTGCTCTGCTCTGCTTTTCTGTGCTGTACTGTGCTCTGCTCTGCTATGTGTATTGTGCTATGACACATCTGCCATCACGACTCTCTCTGCTGCCATGAGCATCTCAGCCCCCTCTGCTGCCATGAAATGAAACCTGCTACTTAAGCCTCTCATTACCTCTCCTCTCTGCAACTATTCTGTCCTCGCGCGTGTCTCTCTCGTTTCCTCCCTTTTCAGAAACCTTTTGTTCGTATGTGCCTTGTGTTGCTGATGCACTGGAGGTTCTTGTGGAATATTTCTAAGAATTCTAAAGAGGCATTCTGTTCGCGCGTGTCTTGTGTTTGCCATGTGTCTCAATGCATTGCCATGTCTTGCCCTGCATTGCCATGTCTTGCCCTGCATTGCCATGTCTTGCCCTGCATTGCCATGTCTTGCCCTGCATTGCCATGTCTTGCCCTGCATTGCCATGTCTTGCCCTGCATTGCCATGTCTTGCCCTGCATTGCCATGTCTTGCCCTGCATTGCCATGTCTTGCCCTGCATTGCCATGTCTTGCCCTGCATTGCCATGTCTTGCCCTGCATTGCCATGTCTTGCCCTGCATTGCCATGTCTTGCCCTGCATTGCCATGTCTTGCCCTGCATTGCCATGTCTTGCCCTGCATTGCCATGTCTTGCCCTGCATTGCCATGTCTTGCCCTGCATTGCCATGTCTTGCCCTGCATTGCCATGTCTTGCCCTGCATTGCCATGTCTTGCCCTGCATTGCCATGTCTTGCCCTGCATTGCCATGTCTTGCCCTGCATTGCCATGTCTTGCCCTGCATTGCCATGTCTTGCCCTGCATTGCCATGTCTTGCCCTGCATTGCCATGTCTTGCCCTGCATTGCCATGTCTTGCCCTGCATTCCCATGTCTTGCCCTGCATTCCCATGTCTTGCCCTGCATTGCCATGTCTTGCCCTGCATTCCCATGTCTTGCCCTGCATTGCCATGTCTTGCCCTGCATTCCCATGTCTTGCCCTGCATTGCCATGTCTTGCCCTGCATTGCCATGTCTTGCCCTGCATTCCCATGTCTTGCCCTGCATTGCCATGTCTTGCCCTGCATTGCCATGTCTTGCCCTGCATTGCCATGTCTTGCCCTGCATTGCCATGTCTTGCCCTGCATTGCCATGTCTTGCCCTGCATTGCCATGTCTTGCCCTGCATTGCCATGTCTTGCCCTGCATTGCCATGTCTTGCCCTGCATTGCCATGTCTTGCCCTGCATTGCCATGTCTTGCCCTGCATTGCCATGTCTTGCCCTGCATTGCCATGTCTTGCCCTGCATTGCCATGTCTTGCCCTGCATTGCCATGTCTTGCCCTGCATTGCCATGTCTTGCCCTGCATTGCCATGTCTTGCCCTGCATTGCCATGTCTTGCCCTGCATTGCCATGTCTTGCCCTGCATTGCCATGTCTTGCCCTGCATTGCCATGTCTTGCCCTGCATTGCCATGTCTTGCCCTGCATTGCCATGTCTTGCCCTGCATTGCCATGTCTTGCCCTGCATTGCCATGTCTTGCCCTGCATTGCCATGTCTTGCCCTGCATTGCCATGTCTTGCCCTGCATTGCCATGTCTTGCCCTGCATTGCCATGTCTTGCCCTGCATTGCCATGTCTTGCCACGCACTGTTGAACCACAGGAGGTGCTCTTCACACTCATCAAAGAGCTCTCAGACGCACATCCAGGTGAGATCCATGTCAGCATGTTGGCATGCTCACTCCTATGCCCTTCACTACTTTTCCGGTCCTCCTGCTCCTGCTGGCCTTTTTCAGGCGCCTCATTTAAGTCAACACTTGCTCGTATTGTGCCTCTCCCTGCTTGTGGTGAGACCATGTCTCGCTGCCCTCTCACATCTGCCGTGCCCATATGTAACATCCCATCCCCCCCCTGCTGATGCTTCTTTTTGTTTGGGCAAACGCTAGTCATTCGAGCCAGGTGCCTCAGAAGCCTTTCATCCCCTGCTGTGCTCCCTCTGTTATCTCCCATCCTTTCCTTTTTCCCTCTTTCAGAGATTAAGAATCCAGAGCAGTCAGCAGCGCTGCTGGGAGGCATCAAGGTACGCCACATGCTCTTTCATTGAAGAGTCACTTTTAAGGATTCTCAAAGCGAATCCCAAAAATAAGCAGCGCTACTGGGAGGCATCAAGGTACGCCACATGCTCTTTCATTGAAGAGTCACTTTTAAGGATTCTCAAAGCGAATCCCAAAAGTAAGCAGCGCTGCTGGGAGGCATCAAGGTATGCCGCATGCTCTTTCATGAAAGAGTCACTTTTAAGGACTCTCAAAGCGAATCTAAAAAATAAGCAGCGCTGCTGGGAGGCATCAAGGTACGCCACATGCTCTTTCATTGTAGAGTCACTTTTAAGGACTCTCAAAGCGAATCCCAAAAATAAGCTGCGCTGCTGGGAGGCATCAAGGTACGCCGCATGCTTTTCCGCTTCACTCGCTTCAGCGAGCTCCGTTATTGTTGTCATTTTCACCTTTGTTTTTGTCGCCCTGATCGTTGGCGTTCCGATGGCATGCATGCAGGTGGAGCTGCCATCAGAGAGGGAGCGCGAGCTGATGCAGCAGATAGCGGAGATGAGGTGCAAGGTGGCCACGCTGGTGGATAATGTTATCACCTACCGCAAGCGCAACGCGCAGGTGAGTGTGGTGTGGTGTGGCTTCAAGCAGCTTTCTTGTTGCATGTGGTTTTCTGGAATCTCTCCAAACAACACCATGGCAGCAAAATGGCGGCGCTGGTGGATAATGTTACCACCTACCTCAACCGCAACGCCCAGGTTTTGTCTTGAGTGCTTCTTGTTTTGTAGCGGAGCTGACGCAGCAGATTGCTGCGATAAGACATGTAGGGCGCGACTTGAACGCCCAGGTGAGCGCAGTTTGTGGTGAGTCCGCATGCTGAGACTTATGTCCAGTCCGTTTTGTCATCACGCAGTCGATAGGAAAGGGCAGGTGTGTGCAGTTAGCTGTGGCGAGTGCAGTTAGCTGTGGCGAGTGCAGTTAGCTGTGGCGAGTGCAGTTAGCTGTGGCGAGTGCAGTTAGCTGTGGCGAGTGCAGTTAGCTGTGGCGAGTGCATTTAGCTGTGGCGAGTGCAGTTAGCTGTGGCGAGTGCAGTTAGCTGTGGCGAGTGCAGTTAGCTGTGGCGAGTGCAGTTAGCTGTGGCGAGTGCAGTTAGCTGTGGCGAGTGCAGTTAGCTGTGGCAAGTGCAGTTAGCTGTGGCGAGTGCAGTTAGCTGTGGCGAGTGCAGTTAGCTGTGGCGAGTGCAGTTAGCTGTGGCGAGTGCAGTTAGCTGTGGCGAGTGCAGTTAGCTATGGCGAGTCCGCTTGTGAGGTGGTATTGTGAGTCCCTTGTGTCTAGAGCAGTCAACCAGAATTCTGAGGTGGGAGCTGTGTGTCATGGTGCAGTCAACTAAAAAGCTCAGGTAAAGCTGCTGCCAACAGCCAACACTGAGGTGGCTTCTCTCAGAAGACATGTACCGTGACACATGCACCGTGACACATGCACCGTGACATGTGCAGAATTCTGAGGTGGGAGCTGTGTGACACGGTGCAGTCAACCGAAAAGCTCAGGTAAAGCTGCTGCCAACAGCCAACACTGAGGTGGCTTCTCTCCCCCTACTCCTCTTTCCCTCTCCTCTCCCTGCCCTCCCCCCTCCTCTCCCCCTTCCCTCCTCCCCTCCTCTCCTGTTTCGTGCCTCCACATGTGGTTGCTTCAGTTGGAGAAGCAGGTGGTGGCATTTCAGTAGCAGAAGGAGGAGAGAGAAGCATATCGTCTTTCCTGACTTCTGCTCTTTCTCCCTCCCTCCTCCCGTTTCCCGTGTTCCCCCCAACCCCCCGTCCCCTCGTCCTCCGTTCCCTCCCCCTACGTGTGGTTGCTTCAGTTGGAGGAGCAGATGGCGGCATTTCAGCAAAGGAAGGAGGAGAGGCAACCCTGCTGCCATTTCTGACCCCTGCTCTTTCCCCCTTCCGCGCCCTTCCCTTCCTCCCATCCTCCCCCACGCGCCCTCCCTCAACGTGTGGTTGTTTCAGTTGGAGAAGCAGATGGCGACATTTCAGCGGAGGAAGGAGGAGAGAGAATCATATCGTCTTTCCTGACTTCTGCTCTTTCTCCCTCCCTCCCGTTTCCCGTGTTCCTCCGTTCTCTCCCTCAACGTGTGGGTGCTTCAGTTAGAGAAGCAGGTGGCGGCATTTCAGCAGAGGAAGGAGGAGAGAGAAAGGCAGGGCGTGGTGCTGAGACGAGGGAGGTGACTTGACAGGGTGTTGGTGAGGCGAGAGCAGTGCCTGTGGTGAGGGGACGGAGTGAAAAGAGGGCATGAGGGGTGAAAGGAAGAGAGTTGATACAGGTGCAAGGGTTAGGAAGGGGATTTCTGAGGAGCTTGACAGCTGCTACGGCAACCACGTTTGACTGCGGTGGCACATCAGGGCAGCTGATCACAGCTTTCTAGGAGCTGATCACTCGCAGAACTGTTAGCAAGTTGCAACGGTTCTTGAATTTAGAGATAATGCCTTACAGAGTGTGTAGGTAGGTACGTTTCGCAGCAGCATGCGTCTTCTGTTTTATCATCATGTAGGGCAGGGATCCATCAGCGTGTCTTTTGTTTTAGTCATCATCTACACACAAATCTCCACACAAATCTCAAGGCATGTGACGCATTCTAATATAGACATGGTGTTACGGGTGCAATGGATCGAGGTAGCGAGGATTGCACTAAGGTGTCAAACGAGTACAAAATGTGAGCGAAGGCATGAGCGAACATTTATATGCGAAACATGCAAACGGTAACGCGGTGCGTGCGACCTAGCTAGTGCTATGCTGACAGCGAGGCTCGGGTTAGTCCCGAAGCGTAGGCCGACACGGCCGGGCCAGCAGTGCGAGGTTTGGCAAACAGTGCGCGCGAAGTTGGCGAAGCCCCGTTAGCAGTAACGGGCGAACAACGGCTGTTGCTGTATGCGATGTAGTCGGGCTCCGTAAGGAATGCCGAGAAAATTCCTTACACTACCCCCCCCTCAAGAAGCCCCCTCCGCTAGGCTAGTGCGTGTATATCGCGGAATCGTCGGCTCCTCAGGTACACTTGCAGGGTAGGGTGGTTTTCGATGTTGGCCAGGGGCACCCAGCTATCTTTAGTTGGCGTGCGATCCTTCCAGCGAACGAGGAATTCAATCCTCCTGATTCCCGTGGGGTGCCGAATTCGATGGCTCATACCGTAATTTTTTCGGGCTCGATGATCGGCTCCGATGCAAGGCGAGTCATGGATGGCGGGCGGTGGCGAGGCAGTTGGCTTGTGGTTGGGATGTATGGGCGAAGCAAGCTGACGTGGAATGAAGGGCTGATGTATCAGTTCGTCGGCAACAGTAGGTGAGCTGTTACTGGGGTAATCATGTGGCCGATTTAGAATGGTCCACAGTAGCGGGGTCTTAATTTCGGTACGACGGGCAGTCTTAAGTTTTGCGTGTCGAGCAGTACGTAATCTCCTAACTGGTACGTGACTGGGTGGCGGTGGCGGTCAGCGTTGCGCTTAGCGATGACGTTGGCTTTTTTAATTGCTTCTGCGGCTCTGGTGCAGGCAGCTTGCAGAATTTCGGCGAATTGCTGTGCACGTGGTGTTGGGTTGTCCGGACTCGGCGTCAGGGGCACTATAGGGTTTTGCTCGTAGTTCAGGTAGAAGGGGGACTGCTGCGTCGTCGCTGACGTGGCGTTGTTGCACGCGAACTTGATCAGCCGCAGCTGCTGCTCCCAAGTCGTGGGGTCGTCGCACGTGGCACGAATTAACTGCTCCATCGTCTGATTCGTCCGCTCCGTTTGACCGTCGGTCTCGGGGTGGTACGACGAGCTGAACTGTAGCCGTGTCCCGAACTGAGAGGTTCTTCCAGAAGTTGCTGGTGAACTTCGTGTCCTTGTCGCTGATAATCGCTGCTGGTGTCCCGTGCAGGCGAACAACGACTGCGATAAACAGGCGAGCGGTCTCCTCGGCTGAGATCGACTTTTTGCACGCAGCGAAGTGTGCCATCTTCGTCAACCTGTTAACGACGACCATCACCGCGTCGTTACCCCCAGGGTTCGAAGGTAACCGCGTGACAAAGTTGTCAAACATTATATATGTTATAGTTATGTAGGCTATAGTGGGTTTAGCCTTAGGGGGTACACAATTCTAGGCTTTCCTACTTGTACTTCTCAATCTTCCTAGTGCAATCACTTCTCTCTTTCTAACATGGTATTACGAGCCTAGGTTAGGAACCTAGGACCGCTTCCGCTAGTAGCGCCCTCGAGCGCCTTCTCGCCGTCACGCCCTCGTGCGCTTCTCTCCTAGTGCGCCCTCGTGCGCCTCTCTCTTACACGCTGCCCGTGCGCAGCTCGCTAGCCGCCCGCGTGCGGCCTGTTTTCTCTAGCGCGTGCCGCCCGTTAGCCACCCGTGCAAGGCCCAAACTGCGCGCGCGGCTACTGTAGGCCGCTCACATGACTAGCGCCGCCCACGAGCAGCCCGTTAGCCGCCCGTCGACCGGCCCGGCGGCCCTTCCAGCGTGACGCAGCCCCGCCCGTAGGCAGCCGCGTCGCTTTCGTAGGCCGCCGCCCCTGCTTTCGTAGGCCGCCGCCCCTGCTTTCGTAGGCCGCCGCCCGCGCGCGACTGCAACCCACGCACGACCGCTCGCCCCTAGGACGGCGCATGACCCACCGCCGCCCGCCCGCAGGTCGCAGCCCACGTGCAGTGGCGGTCGCGCTTCGGCTGCTGCAGTTCGCGTTTAGCTGCAGAACGCACTTAGCTGCAGCATGAACCCAACCGCGGCCTGCGTGCAGCTGTACCCTAGGCGCCGCCACGCACAGAGCACGGGCCCGCCGTCGAGCCGCTCTACCTGCCCGAGGCGCGCCGCCCGAGTCGCGCCGCCCGAGCGGCGCCTTCCTGATCAAGCCGCGCCGCCCCACCTGCAGCACCTGCTGTTCCTGTTCCTGCTGTTACAGCTGTTCTTCTCACTACAGTTGCTACTGCTACTGGTCTTACTACTACTACTACTACTACTGCTGCTACTGCTGCTACTGCCACTATGGCCTCTCCCACAGTTCTCACTTTCGATGCTGAGGGCCGCCCGCTCCAATTTGAAGCTTGGCTTGACGATCTGCATCTGTTCCTCCAGATCACCGCTAAGGACGATGTCTCGCTGTATGACCACGCGCTCGGAACCGCTCTAGCGCCTGCTGACACTGTTGACAGTACCGCTCGCTCCCAGTGGCAGACTCGTGACGCCCACGCTGGCTTAGCCATTCGCAGCCACCTGCCGTTAGATGAGCACGCCCACTTCGGCCAGCATAAGATTGCCAAGGCACTGTACAATGCAGTCGTCGCTCGCTACTCCTCGCCAGCCTCTGCTACGATAGGCCATCTCTCGCTGCCCTATCTTTTCCCCGATCTCGTCGCCTTTCCCACAGTCTCTGACCTCATTACCCACCTCCGCACTAGTGACACTCGCTACCGAGCCGCCCTTCTTGCTGAGTTCCTTGCCAAGAATCCCCCCCAATGTGCCTCGTTCTCTACCACCTAGTCACTCGTCTCCCTGACTCTCTTCGCGTAGTCAGGGACCACTTTCTCGCCCCCTGCCCCACCGAGCTCACCATTGACCTCCTCGAGAAGCATCTTCTTGCAGCTGAGTCTAGCATAGTTGCTGTAGGTGCCTCTCATGGTGACCCCCGCACGCCCTTCTTTGACGGGTGTTCCCCTCCCCTCCTTCTCCCCTCGGTTGCCTCTGCTGCCGCTGTCGACTTCCTTGGTGCTGAGGAAGTCAGGGTTGCGTTTGCTCCTAGCTGGAGGCGCAAGGGCGGCAAGGGCAAGGGGGGCAAGGGTGGTGGTGGTGCTAGCGGGGGAGGTGGAGGTGGAGGTGGAGGTGGAGGTGGAGGTGGCGGCGGTGGGGGCGGTGGGGGTGGTGGCGGTGGCGGGGGTGGTAGCGGGGCTGGGGGGGTGGGTGGCAGCGGCGGGGGTGGTGGCGGCAGTGGTGGTGGAGGAGGTCGGGGTGGAGGTGGTGGTGGTGGTGGTGGAGGCAGTGGGCGTGGGGGTGGCGGCTCGGGTAGTGGTCGAGGTGGACCGGCGCAGCGTGGCGGTTCGGGTGGTGTCCAGCGCCAGCAGCAGCATCTTGGAAAGACCCCGTCGTCCCAGCAGCTTCGTGAGTGGTACTCTTAGCATGGGGGGTTTGGGGGCGGGGTTACCTGCACATATGTCATCCGCACAGGTGGCCGCGCTGGTCAGACGTGTGGGCGGTTCCACACGCCACAGCGCTGCTTCTTCCGTCTCGACGACGCCTGGCGTGCACAGTTCCCTGAGGCCTCTGAGCTGCCCCGCTGGGCTGATCTGCTTAAAAAGAACATTGATGTCTTTGCTCATGTATGCATTGACTATTAGTGTTGAGGGTGACTGTTACTTGTGTGTGCCGCCAGACCCAAGCATTGCGACCAGTGAGGCTGCCGCTCTAGGTGCTAGTGTGTCTGCTGCCCCAGGTCCTGGTGAGGCTGCTGCTCTAACTGCAGGTGTGTCTGCTGCTTCAGGTACTTGTGAGTCTGTGCCTTCAGGTACTGCGTCTACTGAGGCACTGCACACCTTCACATTGGACTCTGGTGCTTCTCGCTGTTTCTTTTGCGACCGCACTGCCCTCGCGCAGCTCCCTAGGCCGGTTGTTGTCTCCCTGGCTGACCCCTCTGGGGGTCCGGTCCTTGCAACCTCCACCAATGCCCTCCCTTGTCCTGCTGTCCCGTTCGGCACCCTGTCGGGCTTTTACCTCCCCTCGTTCTCTACGAACTTGGTGGCGGGTTCCGCGCTCCAGGATGCAGGTGTTCACCAGTTCACCCCTGCCTACGAGCGTGTGACACACTACACGTGTGCCCACACGGGTCAACACCTGGCTACCTTCACTCGGCAGCCGGGGTCGGACTTGTACACACTGACCATTGAGTCCCCTCAGATAGCGGCGTCTGCGTCTGCGTCAGGTCAGTTGTCCGCCCCCTGTTCGTGTCGCACCTTGTCGCACCGGACGGTCCTTTGGCACCACTGCCTTGGGCACCCTTCGATGCAGCGCCTTCGTGGCATGCACTCTCGTTACCTTGTCTCTGGTCTCCCCAGGGCCTCCCCTGCCACCGTCCCCTGCCCCTCCTGCCTTCCCTGTGTCGAGGGGCTGCAGCGTGCCACCCCTCACTCCTCGGAGTTTCCCCCGACGGAGGCCCCTCTGCAGACCCTTCACATGGACGTCTGGGGCCCAGCCCGCGTCCGTGGACAGGGAGGAGAGCGCTACTTCCTGCTAGTCGTCGACGACTACACGCGCTACACCACGGTCTTCCCCTTGCGCACCAAGGGCGAGGTCCCTGTTGTTTTGGTCCCCAGGATCCGTGCTACCCGTCTCCGGCTGGAGAGGCGCTTTCGCACGGACCTTCCCGTCCTGCGACTGCACTCTGACAGAAGTGGTGAGTTTTCCTCCGGTCTCTTGGAGACCTTCTGCCAGGGGGAGGGCATCCGCTAGACGTTCACGCTTCCGGCCTCTCCTCAGCAGAATGGGGTTGCTGAGCGCCGCATTGGCTTGGTCATGGAGGTCGCTCGTACCTCCTTGGTCCATGCGGCTGCCCCCCATTTTCTGTGGCCGTTTGCGGTCCGCTACGCCGCACATCAGCTCAACCTATGGCCCCGTGTCTCCGTTACGGAGACCTCGCCGACGCTGCTTTGGACGGGAGAGGTTGGCGACGCGTTAGTGTTCCGGGTCTGGGGATCTTGTCCGCGATACGTCCGCGGACGAGCTCTCCGCCCGCTCTGTTCCCTGTGCCTTCAATGGCTTTGTCCCTGACGCGCCTGGCTGGCAGTTTTACCACCCCACCTCGCGCCGGGTCTTCGCCTCTCATGACATCAGGTTTGACGAGTCGGTCCCCTTCTACCATCTCTTCCCCTACCGCACTTCCCCGCTCCCCCCCCCGCCACTCTTCCTCACTCCAGGTGCTGCTTTGGAAGACCCCCTGCCTCCCCAGGGTCCTGCTCCCTCAGGTGTTTCCCAGGTAGACCCGGTCGAGGCTGTCGAGGTAGCTGTTGACTCTGGTCCTGCGCGAGGTACTGAGCGTGCTAAGCCTGGTGGTGCTGGGTCTGAGGGCGCTGAGCCTGGGGGTGCGGAGACTGGGGGTGCTGAGCCTGGGGGTGCGAAGACTGCGGGTGCTGAGCCTGGGGGTGCAAAGACTGCGGGTGGTGAGCCCGGGGGTGCTGTCCCTAGGGGTGCTGAGTCTGGAGGTCCTGAGCCTGGGGGTACTGCGCCTGGGGGCGCTCTCTCTTCCTAGCAGCTGCGTGAGTGGTACTCTCGGTATTGTCGCCGCCTCCGTGGTGCTACTGGAGCTGGAGCTGAGGGCGCTGAGCCTACTGGAGGTGGTGTTGCTGCTGACCCTGGGGTCGGTAGTGGAGGTGCTGGAGCCATTGGTCCTGGAGGTGCTCGTACTGGTGGTACTAGAGCTGCTAGGACTGGGGGTGCTTCTTGAGGTGCTGCTGGTGCTGCTGGAGGTAGTGGAGCTGCTGGTGGTGCTGTAGGAGTTGGAGCTACTGCTGGAGGTTCTGGTGCTGTCTCTACTTGTTCTGGGGGCACTACTCGGCCGCGACCGTACTTCGTTCCACTCCTCCAGCAGGTTCTTGGTCAGCCGCCTCCTCCTTATCCTGCTCCCTCCTTAGAGTGTTCTCTGCCTGTCCAGTCGCAGTCTCAGCTAGCGCTTGCCTCGCCACTTCCTGGTCCTTCTCCCTACGCTGGTCCGACAGGCGGTCTTACGGAGCGTCGTGAGCCTGAGTCTCGTCCTGTGTCGCCTGAGTCTCGTCTTGTGTCGCCTGTTTGTGCTGCTCGCGCTGGTCACCGTGCTCCGCGTGAGCGTCCTCCACCTGTCATTGGCACACACTATATGACTCAGCGTCCTTCCACTGCTCCACTGCGTATCCCTCTGCCATCTCCTCGCGCGTCCTCTCTTCCGGTCCTTGCTGACCCGGAGTTTGACCGGGTTGGTGCTGCCAGTCCTACTGTCACGCGTCTCCTGGCCACTGCTGTCACTGACCCTTCCATTGAGTCTGCTGCTGCGTGTGCCCTAATTGCTGAGCTTGTCGACTTTGCTGCTCGCTGTCGTCTAGACTACGCCGCAAGTGTTGTTGGTGAGTCTGAGTCTGTCTGTCCTCCGTCCGTCGGGGGTGAGTGTGCTCTAGGCACGGATGTCCTTGAGGACAAACAGGAGGACCTTTAGTGTCTTGCAGCCGCTGCGCCTCATCTCGTGTCCATGCTACTTGCCCCTGAGGGAGACCTAGATGCTCCAGACATCCCGACCCCGCGCTCTTACGCCGAGGCGATCGCGGGTGAGTACTCCTCTCAGTGGTAGTTAGCCATGGACGCAGAGATGGCATCCTGGAAGTCCGCTGGCACTTACATCGCCGAGGTTCCCCCTCCTGGGGCGAACATCGTCAGTGGCATGTGGATTTTCAGGGTGAAGCGGCCGCCAGGTTCTCCGCCTGTCTTCAAGGCTCGTTACGTTGCTCGAAGCTTCAGTCAGCGAGAGGGAGTAGACTTCTTTCAGACCTTCTCCCCCACCCCGAAGATGACCACTCTTTGGGTGCTAGTGCACGTTGCCGCTCAGCGTGAACACGAGCTTCACTCTCTTGACTTCAGCACAGCTTTCTTGCAGGGCAGCCTGCACGAGGAGATCTGGCTGCGCCGCCCTCCTGGCTTCACTCGGTCGTTCCCTCTTGGTACCCAGTGGAGCCTCCGGCGGCCGGTCTACGGTCTCCGCCAGGCGCCACGTGAGTGGCACGACACACTGAGGACTACTCTTGCGGCTCTTGGGTTCGCGCCTTCTACTGCTGACCCGTCGCTGTTTCTGCGCACCGACACGTCGCTGCCGCCGTTCTACATCCTCGTGTACGTCGACGACTTGGTCTTTGCTACTGCTGACACTGAGGCTCTCGCCCACGTGAAGTCGGAGCTGCAGAAGAGACACACGTGCACAGACCTGGGTGAACTGCGCAGCTACCTTGGCTTGCAGATCACCCGGGACAGAGCACGCCGCACCATAACATTGACTCAGTCACACATGGTGCAGCAGGTCCTTCAGCGCTTCGGCTTCACCTGGTCCTCAGCACAGGCCACTCCTCTGGCTACAGGTCACTCGTGTCAGAACATTATAGCTTATACATTTGTGTAGACTGTAGTGGGGTAGCCCATAAGGGGTACAACCCAATTAGGGTTAGTACTTGTACCCAAGTCTTTCATTGTTCAATCATTCTTTCGTTCTCATCTTCACATGGTATAGAGCTGGTTCCCTCGTGGGAACTGTTTCTAGGGCCCACCGATTTTTTTTTTCCTGCCCGGAGCACGCTTGGCCCCTGCCCGAGTCGTGCCCCGTGTCCTTCCCCCTCTAGCGGCCTCTAGCGGCCCCTTTTACGGCCCCTAACGGCCCCGTCGCGCCGCCCTTTCGGCCCCGTCGCGCCGCCCTTGCGGCCCCGTCGCGCCGCCATTGCAGCCCCGTCGCGCCGCCTTTGCAGCCCCGTCGCGCCGCCCTTTACGCGGCCCCGTCGCCGCCCCTTCCTGCGGCCCTGTCACCCCCTTTCAGCGGCCCCGTCGTCGCCCTTCCGTGGCCCCGACACCGCCCTTATGCGGCCCCGTCGCCGCCCTCCAGCGGCCCCGTCGCCGCCCTTTCAGCCGCCCCGTTGCCGCCCGCCCTTTCAGCGGCCCCGTCGCCGCCCTTCCACGGCCTCGCCGCCCGCCCTTACAGCGGCCCCATCGCCCGCCCTTCCGTGGCCCCGACACCGCCCTTCCGCGGCCCCGTTGCCGCCCTCCAGCGGCCCCGTTGCCGCCCTTCAGTGGCCCCGTCGCCGCCCTTTTCAGCGGCCCCGTCGCCGCCCTTTCAGCAGCCCCGTCGCCGCCCACCCTTCCAGCGGCCCGTCGACGCCCTTTCAGCGGCCCGTCGCCGCCCTTTGAGTGGCCCCGTCGCCGCCCGCCCTTCCAGCCGTCGTCGCCGCCCTTTCAGCGGCCCGTCACCGCCCTTTTAGCGGCCCCGTCGCCGCCCTTCCACGGCCCCGTCGCCGCTCAGCCGCCGGGTAGCCGAGCCGCCAAGCAGCCGAGCCGCCGAGCAGCCGAGCCACCCAGCAACCGAGCCGCCTTGCAGCCGAGCCGCCCGACCGCCGAGCCGCCCAGCACCCGAGCCGCCGAGCCGCACCGCAGCCAAGGTGCTGCCGCCTGTCAGCCTGCCCGTGACTGCCCCACTTGCCAGGTAAGAGCAGCGTCTCTGCCACTGCACTGCCCTGCCCCACTGTACTCACTGCCTGTCTACTACTGTCATGGCCTCCCCTGGTGTTCTCACCTTTGACGCTGAGGGTCGGGCGGTCGACTTTGAGGTTTGGGTAGATGGTCTGCAGCTTTTCCTACACTGCGATAGGGCACATGGTCTCTCCCTGTTTGACCTCACTTCTGGTGCCTCTCCTGCCCCTGCTGCTGATGCTGACCCCTCTGTTCGCTCACAGTGGGCCACGCGCGATGCTGCTGCTCGCCTTGCTATGCGCCGTCACTTACCGACCACTGAGCGTGCACACTTTAGCCAATACAAGAGTGCTCAGACCTTGTACGACGCTGTAGTTGCACGCTACTCTTCCCCTGCCACTGCTGCACTGAGCCGCCTCATGCTACCATACCTCTTCCCTGACCTTGCTGCCTTTCCCGCTGTCGTTGACCTCATTACGCACCTCCGCACTAGTGACACTCCCTACCGCGCTGCGCTTCCTGCTGAGTTCTACGCCAAGAACCCCCCCCCCCCCTCCATGTACATCACTCTCTCCGCGTATTCAGGGACCACTTCCTCTTAGTTTGCCCCACCACTCTCACCGTTGACCTCCTCGAGAAGGCCCTCCTACCAGCAGAGAAGAGTATAGTCGCTGTAGGAGCCTCTCGTGGTGACCCTCACACCCCCGTTTTGAGGGGTGTTCTCCCTCCCCCCTCTTGCCGTGTGTTGCCTCTGCTGCTGCGGCTGACCTCGTTGGTTTCGAGTCGGTCGGCGCTGCGTCTGCCCCAAGCGGGAGACGCCGCACCGGCGAGGGCAAGGGGGGCAAGGGCGCTGGAGGGGCTGGAGGGGGCGGTGGAGGTGGTGGTGGAGGTAGTGGAGGGAGTGGGGGTGGTAGTGGGAGTAGTGCCGGGGGTGGCGGCGGCGGCGGCAGCAGTGGAGGCGGCGGAGGCGGTGGTGGTGGCAGAGGGAGCGGAGGCGGCGGAGGTGGCGGAGGAGGCGGAGGTGGAGGAGGCGGCGGAGGCGGCGGTGGCGGCAGCGGTGGTGGAGCGGGTCGCGACTGTGCACAGAGGAGTGTCTCAGGTGGTGGTCCGCGCCAGCAGCAGCGGAGTGGTGTGACCCTGTCCCCTCAGCAGCTTCGTGAGTGGTACACTGCGCGTCAGCGCAATGGGGGTTTTGGTCCCTGCACTTACGTCCTCCGTACCGGCGACCGAGCTGGTGAGCAGTGCAGAGGCCCGCACTCCAACCAGCGCTGCTTCGGTCGCCTGACGGACGCATGGCGCCGCCAGTTGCCTTAGGCGACAGAGATCCCTTGTTGGGGAGATCTGTCCAGGGCGGGGGTTGCCGTCTTTGATCTTGACTAAGATGCTATTCTTGTTGCCATGTATGCTGTTGATGATAGTGTTGTGGGTGACTGTTACCTGTGTGTACCGCCTGACCCGGGCATTGAGGCTACTGCTCTAGGTGCTGGTGAGGCTACTGCTCTAGGTGCTAGTGCGTCAGCTGCCCCTGGTGCTAGTGCGTATGCTACCCTAGGTGCTGGTGAGTCTGCGCTCTGAGGTACTACGTCGGCTCAGGCCTTACACACCTTCACCCTTGACTCGGGTGTGTCTCGCTCCTTCTTTCGAGACCGCACCACTCTTACGCCGCTCACTCGGCCGGTTGCAGTCTCCCTGGCAGACCCCTCTGGGGGTCCTGTCCTTGCTAGCTTCTCCACTGTCTTATCGTGCCCGGCAGCCCCCTCTGGCACCCTGTCAGGTCTCTACCTCCCCTCGTTGTCTACGAACTTGATGAGTGGAGCGGACCTACAGGATAGGGGGGTTGACCAGTTCACTCCTACGAGTCAGCGAGTGACCCACTGCACGTGTGCTCGGACAGGCCGACACTTGGCCACGTTCACCCGTCGGCCAGGGTCGAGCCTGTACACATTTACTACTGAGTCTCCTCCGGCTGCTGAGTGTGTCAATGTAGCTGCGTTGAGTCAAGTGTTTGCTGCAGCGTCCAGGTCTGGTCCTGAGTCTGCTCCCTGCTCGTGCCGTCTATGTGTCATATATGTCTTAACTCGTACACACAAATAGGTTTCGTATAAAAAGGCTAGCCTGTTTATAAGAGAGACCCGTATAGTAGACAAGCCCTGTCTACTATTCAACACTGCCTTATATTCGGGCAATGTCGGTACGTGCAGGGGGCGTGCCGTTTTGTGAACGAAAGCTGGTTGTGTCCGCAGGACACGTTCAATACAGTGTTACAACAAAAAATGTGGTAACTGAGCGGGCTTACGAATAGTAAATGTACGAGCTTGACAACCCCTTACAGAATCAAACATGACGGATGCTTGGGTTGGGATTGGGAGCACCGTGGGGAAGGATGGCGGTCAGATTCTGGAGTACTTGATAATATCTGTAATGTAGAGTGTCTAATCTCTCTGCCCGTTGCCTGGATTTTTCCAAAGCAGCCCTATTCCTCCTCCTAAAATATTCATAAATAAAACTTGACTATACCCTGGGGATTTGTTTCTGGAACGGGTAACATGAACTGTAGAATCCAGATCTTCAAGAGAGGTGGAAGTTCGGGTAGCGAGGGCATCTGAAAACAAATGTTCAATCTTCGCAAAACAGCCGCCGAATTGTCGCAATAAATTCGTCATCCTACCTACGCAACTGTACCCACAGAAAGAATCCACGTCTCCTCTTTCTGCATATCTCACCTAATCCACAGAAGAGACTGGAAGGGTACAGTACACGACAACGTAGCACTGCAACCAACAGCCAGACTGCTTACGGAAACCGAACTGAACCATTCTATTACATGAAGGGATACGGCACTTACTATACCACGTCAGTGGTTACGGGCGCATGCATTAAAAGCCTCTGCTGTTCACAACCACGTAACCCTAAACAAATATGTTCGGTGTCTATGAAGGTACGGCTTTGGGGAACTAACACAGGCAACGGCCGTGTGGCTGCAGACAACACAACTCGAACACGTCCTACAAAGCCACTATATCGGCCTCAGCTGTGACGAGTCTACGGACAGATGCCGTGGGAAGCATCTCATCATCTATGCCACATTCATCCGCGACGGGGCAGTAGTCACCGAGTTATTTGCCCTCCTAACCGTGGACAGGGCAGACGCCGCATCGCTGGTGGCGTTGCTCTTATCCCATGTCAATGCCGTCGGCATTGACCTGCACCGAATCACGGGCATCAGCACCGACGGGGCGAGCGTCATGGTCGGATCCAAAAACGGGCTGGTGGCGAGGCTGAGGACGCGCGTTCCGCATCTGGTGTCCTGCCACTGCATCGCTCACAGGTACGGTGGTTGATGCAGTGTCCGATGCGACTGGTATTTGTTATTTGAACATGGTGTCCTTCCTTCTACTTAACCAGATGCGACTGTTTTTTGTTTTAATCGCAGGGAAGCACTCGCGGCCAAGGACGCGGCAGAGTCCCTACCGGAGTTTGGCATGGTCGACAGCTTCATCCGCTGGCTCTCCACCTACCTCGGCTCATCAGGACCCTGGCACCAGCGCTTCCTGGACCTTCAGGAAGTCTTCACTCATACTAACCTGGAGCTCCAAGGAATCAATGATGTGCGTTGGCTCTCACGCGGCGATGCAGTCTACCGACTCCTTGCAGTCCTTCCAGGGGTTGTCGTGATGGTGCACGAGCTGGGAAACAAGCCCATGTACCAGATGGTGACTAGCTACAGATTCCAGTTCATGCTGCGCTTCCTCGCTGACGTGCTGGAACAGCTGAACGTGCTCAGCAAGACGTTCCAGCATCGACAGGTGAGATCCTGCTTTTGCCTGTGCATCCCTGTGTGCCGTGAGGACTGTGGGTTTAGGGCCGCTAGCTACGGCTAGTTCTGCTTCATGATTGAAACATGGTTGTGCTTTCCCTACTGTTTTTGTGTGGCAGATTGACCTGCTGGCGATTCAAGGCCAGATCCGTCGCACAACAACCCACATCAACAGCCGTTATGTGGATTGTGGCGACGACTTCGGCGGCGGCCTGAACGAGAAGCTGTCCCCCTTCATTGCACGACATGGACCGAATGGGGTGCGGAGAGTGGAGGTCGAGTGGGTTGACTCCGACGGCCGGCCCACTTCTCACTGCTATGTGCTGCATGATTCCCCCCTTGAAGGCTACCCCATTGCAGGGACCCATGAGCGATGCGTGGAGCAGTGCACGGCGATGGTGGAGGCGCTCGTGCATAACCTGGATGAGCGATTGGGTTCACTCGACAAGTTGAGCGGTGTGAAGCTTTTCATGCCCGACGAGTGGCCCCATGGACGGCATGAGCGTTCCATGGTCTGCACGGAGCACCTAGAGTCCCTCACGATGCTCTTCAGGGCCCAAGAGAGCGATGAGATCGTTCCAGGTACGTACTTCTCTTTGGTCTGTGCATCGTTGTTTGTGCTGCTTTGTTGTGTAGCACCTAAACACTGGCACCACTTGTCTGGTGAGCCTTGCTTACCTTGTTCTTTTCCTTGTGCTTGCGCACTCCCTGACTCCCTCCAGGTGTCAACAAGAAGAAGGCTTTCAAGGAGCTCCGCACGTTCTGCACGGTTCTCGCTGGAGCCCCGAAGTCCGAGAGAAAGTTCTACCCGGGTCTCTCGGCGATGCTGAAGTCTCCTGACTGGGAGGACGCGTACCCCAACCTGGTGAAGCTGTGGATGGTTGTCGCTGTGCTACCGTTGAGCACAGTCGAGTGCGAGCGGGGGTTCTCGCGTCAAAACATCATCAAGAGCTGGCTGAGGGGTGCCATCAAGGATGCGCGGCTGTCGGACCTCATGTGCATGGCATTGCTGCCATACGAGCCCGACTGGGTGGAGGTGGTGAATATCTGGAGGGCGTACAAGAAGCGCAAGCCCATCACAACAGTGGCAGCACCAAAGAAGCAACCTCGTGCTAAGGGGAAAGAGAAGGTGGACGAGGATGATGCTGGTGGTGCTGGCTCTGTGTGGGGGACAGAGACCCCCGTGCACAGGCACGGTTCTATGAGCGATGGTGGTGGTAGTGACGAAGATGAGGACATGTCTGTGATGTGAATTGTGTGTGCAGTGTGAGTGCCAATTGGTCTGTGCCTGTAGTTAGATTAGAAGCTCATTAGAACCATATTTGAACTTTTCTTAACTTATTATACTTGTGATAGTTGTGGATTCTCACCGCCAGTGTTTTTTTTTTAACTCACGCTGATGTGTCAGGGTTTTTTTTTTCTAACCCTGAGAAATCAGTGTTTCTCCATTTACAACCCTGATGATCAGTGTTACAGCCCCAAAGGACCCTGAGTGCTCAGGGTCACCCAAAACGAATCTGAGGCCCTGATGACAGCGCACCACAGGAACGCACACAGCCTGTTGTACATACACACCTTGGGCAAGCCAATCACAGAACTCGGGCTCGGGCCTCGCAAGCGCACCCTGCACATGTACGGTCCGATCGGATCAGAAGTGCTTTGCCTCATCTTCCATTACCGAAACAAACAGGAACTGAATATCGATGGCCAACTTTCACTCTAATAAATATGATTCTCACTCCTACTCAAAGCCATACTTCAACCATGTTGAACTCTCTATTTGGTCCAAATACCAGGTTCTCCAAAAAACTTCGTCCTTGGATTCATGAATCACCAGCTTGTATTTTCTAGAGTCCTAAACATCCATAATGCATTTATAGTGGGTATGATAATGTATTGGCGAGACAGCGCCAGACGGCCTTGGAGAGGTGGGTGTCGTGGAGGGGTTTGGAGAGGTAGTCATCCATGCCGACGGCAAAGCACTGCTGGCGCGTGCCGGCAATCACATCCGCTGTGAGAGCAATGATGGCCACATGCCCCCCGCCCTGAGCCCTCTCCCGCGCCCGGATCCTGCGAGTCGCCTCCAGCCCATCCATGCCCGGCATCTGGAGGTCCATGAGAACGAGATCGTAGGGGTGGGGCGGGGCGAGGGCGTCTACGGCTTTCATGCCGCCATCGACGGCGGTGACTCGCGCGCCATGCCTTTCCAGCAGCTTGCTGGCCACCTTGCGGTTCACCACGTTGTCATCCACCACCATCACCCGCCGACCAGACAGCACCCCCAGCCTCTCCCCCACTGTCGCCGGCTCCCGTGCCATTTCTATCGGGGCTGGTGCTGCTTGTGGTGCTGCTTGTGGTGCTGCTTGTGGTGCTGCTTGTGGTGCTGCTTGTGGTGCTGCTTGTGGTGCTGCTTGTGGTGCTGCTTGTGGTGCTGCTTGTGGTGCTGCTTGTGGTGCTGCTTGTGGTGCTGCTTGTGGTGCTGCTTGTGGTGCTGCTTGTGGTGCTGCTGCTGGTGCTGCTGTTGGGAATGCTGGTGGTGGTGTGGCGGGTGTTGGTGCTGGTGAGAGTGATGGCGATGGTGTGCGTGTAAGGGCAGGGGATAGAGTCCCAAACGATAAAGACTTTTGAGGCGCCTCAAAGGTTGTAAGGGCAGGGGACAGTGTTCCAATCGAGGAAGCTGAAGTAGCGGGAGAGAATCCTGTGAAATCCAGCACACTCTCAAACCCACTCACCCTGCCACCACCACCACCACCAGCGGCCGCAGCAGCAGCAGCAGCAGGATACTCGCCACCAGAGCCACTGGTGACCGTGCTATGCCTCTTATCACTCCGTCTCACATGGGACCGCCCAGCTGCTCTCCTCTCACCTGCTGAACCGTGCACCCATGCTCTCCTTTCACCTGAACCAGGTGCTTCCCCGTCACTGGTGCCTCTCCCAAGGACCCTACCACCCGCCAAATTACCAGCTCCACCCGCTGAAGCAGCAACGGATGCCAAACCTGTCAAAGAAGCAGCAACACCAGCAGCAGCAGGAGCAGGAGCAGCAGGAGCAGCAGCAGCAGCAGCAGCAGCAGCAGCAGCAGCACCAGGTGCGGTTGCAGCCGGTGCAATCAGATGCTTGAGGGAAGCAGACCAGTTCACCAAGGAGGCACTGTTGCCATCCATGCCCTGCTGCTGCTGCCTACCGCGGGACGCCTCCTCCTCCCAACACACGATCAGCCCCGGAAGAGAGGCAGCATGGCCAGTGTTGGAATTGGGTGACGTGTTTTGTGCCGCCCCAGGGCTTGCAGCTTCGGATTTGGCAGTGTCAGAAGCCGGGGTGGCGGGAGTGTTGGGAGTGGTAGGAGTGGTGGGGGTGGCGGGAGAGGTGGGAGAATGAGATCGGCGCAACTTGAACAAGCGAGGGGAATCGAGCCACTGAGGGGAAGCGAGGGACTGGGGGGACATGAGGGAGTGTGGGGATGTCACAGCTCGCCAGAGAGCCGCTGCAGCACTGCTGCCTGCCTTGTGGAGGACCGATGGGCTCACAAGCTCTAATGCTGCGCCACCCCACTGCCCCTGCCTCTCATCCTGCCTCTTATCTTGCTTCTCACCCTGTCTTTCACCCTGTCGATCGGTACTGTCACTACATCCCATAGTGAGAGGCCGGCGGCAGGCAGTCGCAAAATCTCTCGAGATCTGTTCCTGTTCCTGCTGCTGCTGCTGCTGGTGACTGCTGGTTTTCATAGTATGACCCTCGTCTCTCGCCCCTCCCTGTGCTGCATCCTCGCCCTTGCCTCTTTCTCCTCCTCCCCCACCCTCCTGCACACACTCACTTAGCTCTGTGCCCACACTAAAAAGCGGCAGAAGCGCCGCCAGCAATGCCGGTTTCCGAAGAGGCTTCCTCACAACAGCGTCAAAGCCAAGTGAAAGCAGCGAGGGAATAGACGGGGAGGGCGCAAGTGAGGGCGCAGGCGAGGGCGAGACGGAAAGCGCAGGCGACCTGCTGCTCCTGCTCTTGCTGCTGCTGCCGCCTTGGCAGCCTCTCGTTAAATCGTTACATTCACCCAGGTTACACTCGCAATCGAATCCATCCGCCCTTCCATCCCTTCTTTCAGCAGTTGCGGCCCTCCCATTGCTCTTACGGCTGCTTCTCCTGCTCCTGACCATACCCCTGTCTATACTCCTGTCCCTGTTCCGCTCTCCGGTCCGACCCCTCCGTATCCGTGCCGACTCACAGCAGACCTCCTTGTGGCAGTCCGAATCCGGTTCATGGGAAAAGCTGTCCCCTTTATAAGCATCCCTCGGGCTGAAGCTGTCGGCCGCGGTAAGGCTTCTGGCAAGAGGGCTGGGCGGGGGGAGGTAGGAGCCATGCAGGAGCACAAGGAAGGGGACAGGCCAGCTTCTACAGCTACTGCTGTTCTTGCTGCATGCGCCGCACTCGCTTCCGCATGGGCTCTCCTCAAGTGCACACCTGCTCACTCGTGGCAGCCCATCCCCTGCCATCTCTTCACCTTCGTCCCTACCCCCACTCATGTGCCCTCCCTTGCTCATCTGCTCACTTGTACTCATCTCCTCGGGCTTACTCATCGGCTCACCATAGCCTGCCATCCCAAAACCCCCCTGGTCCATCAAGAGGGAATGGATTTGATCTGCTGTGACGCCCAGACGCTGCATCATCTCCCCCTCCACCACCACCGCTCCCACCCATCCCCGCCTCTCCTCCTTGCTCAAGGTCTTGTAGTGCACCTGTTGCTGCACTCTCCCCTCGCTCTCTCCGTCCACCTCCTCTGCTTCTTCCTCTCCTTCATCCTCCTCCTCTTCTCCTTCCTCCTCCCCCTCCCCCTCCGCCTCCTCTCCCTCTTTCTCCTGCTTTTTTTTCCGCCAGCGCCGCTGCCACTTCCGCTGCTGCTGCTGCTGCTTCTCCCCCCTTCTACCCTCGCCATTCCCGCTTGAAGAGCAGGCAGTGACTGAAAGAGGAGGGCAGGAAGACTGGCGGGAAAGGGGAGCGAGAGAGAGAGGGGAGCAACGGTCGGAGGAGGCAGAGGGGGTGGAGGCGGAGGGGCGGAAGGCAAGAGATGCAAAAAGAACAGCCGGCGAGCCAAATGGCTCGAGAGGAGGCTCCAGAGAATGACTCAACGGTTCGAGAGGATGAGACAGCGGCTCGAGAGGACAATTCAATAGTTCGAGACGATTCTTTAGAGGAGGATAAGTATGGTTGCTGATAGGTCCTGTGCTGGCTTGTGAGCAGGGAAGCCGCTCCTGCTCCTGCTCCTCCCCCTGCTCCTGCCTCTGCTCCTGCTCCTGCTCCTGCTCCTGCTCCTGCTCCTGCTCCTGCTCCTGCTCCTGCTCCTGCTCCTGCTCCTGCTCCTGCTCCTCCCCCTGCTCCTGCTCTTGCCCCTGCTCCTGCTCCTGCTCCTGCTCCTGCTCCTGTCCCTGCCCCTGCTCCTGCCCCTGCTTCTGCTCTGCATGATGCAAGGCACGGTGTTGGGCGAGGAGGCGGGGGAGGAGGTGGAAGGAGGGGCAGGGAAGGGTGCAGAGGCCAAGGCGGCGCAGCAGAGAGAGAGTGACGGCATGCCGCACCGCCCGGTCGTCCACACTCACCACACACACGCCTTCCCATTCACATGCTGCCCTCCTGTCATTCCCACCACTCACCACACACACACTTCCATTAGGAAGCCCACATGCTGCCTGATGCTGCTGCTGCTTCTGCTGGTGCTGGTTGGCTGTGCCTTGGGTGGGCACGTTACAGGAGCTTTGAGGAAGAGGAGCGGGGATGGACGTTGCGCCAGAGGGAGAGGAAGAGGAGGGCTTAGAGGTTGGAGATGCATTTAGCAGGGAAGGAGGGAGTGAGAGAGTGGAGAGAGGTGGGACAGGGGCATGAGGCGGAGTGGTGGGTTGAGGAGTTGTGTGGGGTTGGGGAGGAGTTGTGTGGGGTTGGGGAGGAGTTGTGTGGGGTTGGGGAGGATGCGCCGGGGAGCGACAAGGCCCAGGGGGGTGAGGGAGAGGGGGTGTGTGGAGGAGAGGGGGTGTGTGGAGGAGAGGGGGTGTGTGGAGGAGGATATCGAAGATGAAGGTGGTGCCGACGCCTGGCTTTGAGACAAACGAGATGGATCCACCCATCAGTGACACCAGGCGCTGCAGGCGATGGGGGGGGGAGGGTGGGGGGTGGTGGAGGGGATTAGAGTGGGGAAACGGAAAAATATTGGGCAGGTAAAAAAGGATAGCAATGGAGGATGCCTCAAGAACACACTGCACCTTGCAGATGGAGAGGCCGATGCCCGTGCCTCCATGCAACCGTGCCGTGCTGCGCTCTGCCTGTGTGTACGGCCGGAAGATGTGCCTCCGCGCGTGCCGGGGGATGCCGGTACCTGCAGGAAGAATGAGCATGGGAGCACAATAGGTGGAAGAATAGGATAGTGACTTTTGCGTTGACTCAAAAAGAATAGCATGTGAAAGCTTGAAAGCATTCATGATAACACATCGCATAACATGATTAACAATTGCACAAGATGATCAAATGCGATTGCAATCGTCGTATGTACCTGTACCCTCCACACCACCATCAGGCGCACACGCACACGCATGCACACGCACACGCATGCACACGCACACGCATGCACACGCACACGCATGCACACGCACACGCATGCACACGCACATGCACGCACACAAGCGCAATGAGCTGGTTTTTGAGAATTCTAAAAAAACCACCATCAGTCGCACACGCGACCGCGCGCACACGCATGCACACAAGCGCAATGAGAGCGTACCTGTGTCTTCCACAGCCACCATCAGGCGCACAGGCTGGTCAGAGGGCACGATGCGAAGGCGATGGCGACAACGCCAGGTATCATTTGCCGTGCCCATGCCCATGCCCATGCCCATGTCCACGGCAGCAAGGTCCATGTGCTCCCGCATGCCCTCCCACGAGCACCATGTCTTCATGGCAGGCCGGCCACTCAGTGTCAGGCACCCAGGGTCAGTGGAAGAATGCGCAACTGGCTCACAGCCACCAGTGTCCACATCGGCACTGGTGCCTTGGTCGCCGCCAGAAGCACCGCTCGTCTCATTTACTTGGGCAGTGGCTCCATCTGCCTTGGCTGTATCCTTCCCCTGCTTCAGCACCGCTGCCTCGGCTGCATTCTTCCCCTCTCTATGGTTCCTTGCACTGGTGAAGTAACTGGCAAGGGAGTGGCGCCTGATGGTGGCCGATCCTTTGGTGAGGGATGGGGATGGTGATGGTGGTGATGGTGACAGTGAGGGTGACGAGGAGGATGTGGAGGATGCAGCTGAGAGCAGTGATGGAGGGGTATTGGCATCATCGTTGGTGGTGCTGTCGGTGGCGGTTGCGAGGCGCACGACAATGAAGACGTGGCCCTTGGTGGTGAACTTGAGGGCGTTGCCGATGAGGTTGATGAGGATCTGATGCATGCAGAAAAAACAAACAAACAAGCACACACGCACGCACACAGAGGGTGAGCAAGGGTCGCGCCACGAATGCAACGGATGAAGTGATTGAAAGCAAACATCAGTGCAGGGGTATCTGTGCAAAGAAAGAAAGACAGAGATCATGAAGCTTGACCCTGTTTGACCTGAAACGGTTCGCGTTCGGTTCTTGCTCATGCGTACTACCATACCAACACTACCACATCCACCTGTTTCACTCGAAGTGGGTCCCCAAGCAGCGTCTCGGGCACGTCGTCAGCCACGAAGGCTGCCAGCTCCACGCAGCGCTTCTCCTGGGCGCTCTCCACGAAGAGCGCGAGCACGTCGTCGAGCTCGGCGCACAGGTTGAGGGGGATGCGCTCGAGGTGGAGCTTCTCAGCCTCGATCTTGGAGAGGTCGAGAATGTCGTTGATCAGCGCACACAGCGCCCGCCCGCTGCTGCACGCCGTCTCCGCGTAGTCCTGCTGCGTGCCGTCCAACGGGGTTTCTTGCAACAGGTTCAACATGCCTGGGAGTGGGAAGAAACAAACGATGACAAACAAAAAGCGATGTGGGTTGTTCAATATGTGATATTGAGATGAGACCCTTCAAGGTTACGGACTGTGTAGCCTTGTTGCACTTACTTGGAACTCGGCTCTTGGGGTTTGTAAAGGCTGTGAATCTTTCTCAACTCGAACTTCTTACTTTGTATCTTAAGACTATTGTGGCTGCTCGACCGTTGTCCAAACCGTCATAGTGTCCTCATTTTGGTATGAAATCGCTTGACTGAACTTGTAACTTCGAGATCTGTATAAAGTTCTGAAGCCGCTCCGCATAAATCCGTCTGTGCACTCTAACTTTCGTTTGAATCCCATTGAAGATTATTGCGATTATAACCACCCTCAGACTGCAATAGCCCACGTACTACCCCCATTCTCGTTTTTTACCCTTTTCTACTGGCCTTAGGGACGTGACATTGAAGGAGGATGTGATGGGGACAAGGATATTGGCACGACTTGCATCAACCTAAGCACAGCACCAAACAAAGACTCATTGCATCCCCAAACGCACGAACGATCAATTCACGTACCACTGAGCCGCCTTGAAAGTCACATACCTATTACGCCATTCATGGGAGTGCGGATCTCGTGGCTCACGGTGGTGAGAAAGTCTCCCTTGGCACGGCTCGCCGCCTCGGCTTCCTCTCGAGCAGCACGCAGCTCCTGCTGCGCCGCGGCCAGGTGCTGACAGTCGCACTCAAAGGCGTGCATGAGCTGGATGCTCGTCCAGAGGAGGATGGTGGAGACGGTGAGGAAGAGAGCCACAACTATTATCCAGATGAAGGGGCCGAACGGGCGGGAGTAGGAGGTGTGCCTGAGGTGGGATGTAAGGCCGAGAAGAGAAGAAGGGAAAGGGGGGCATGGGGAAGGAGAACGGTGGTGAGGGAAGATGCGGAGGGCTGGATTGCAGAGGCAAGCGGATGCTGCTATACATGTGTGTGTGTGCGTGCGTGCGGGCGTGCGTGCGTGTGTGTGTGTGTGTGTGTGTGTGTGTGTGTGTGTGTGTGTGTGTGTGTGTGTGTGTGTGTGCATGTATGCGTGCGAGCATGCATGTTTCACAGATCCATGGACGAACACACTCGTTCAATCCGTATGCATGTATAGATCCATGCACGTACACATGCATGCACACATCAACTTACTCGCAGAAAATATAGAAACTTTTTGTTGGATCTCCCAAATTCACCGCCCGTCGCACTCTCCCCCGCTGCTGCTCCTCCCCATCCACCATCCATGCCCCAATCTCCTCCTCACCCACCACCCCCTCATGGTCAAATAAAAGCGCAGGCATCCATCTACCAGTCTTTCCGTCCTCATTCCGTGCACTTTCATTCCGCGCACCATCCCACGCCCCGCCCCTCGTCCCATCCACCAGATAAACCCTCGTCTTCAGCTCCACCAGCTGCTGAAACCCCACAAGCGACCGCAGGTTGGCAAAGTTATACCCCGCGACGACGAACCCCCGTGGGAGCACCCCAGGTCCGGGGGTGGCAAGCGGAGGGATGGTGATGGACGGACGCGCGGACGAGGGGGGCAGAGCGAAGGTGGTGAGGTTGAAGTAGACTGGGAAGACTTGACCGATGAAGTGGTAGGGGTAGCCATCGCGCATGAAAGGCGGAGACATGACAGCGGCGGCTGAGTTGATGGCCCGGTGGATCATGTCGCCCACTCCTTGGTCTGAGAGGGACAGTGGGAGGGGGTGGGATGGGGTGGGCGGAGGTGGGAGGCGGCGATGAAGGAGGGCAGGGTGGAGGGGAGTGATTCATGATTCCCTGAGATCTCTTGAAGACATGACAGTGGAGGGTGAGTCGATGGCCCGGTGTATCTTTATGTCCCTCGCTGCCCTTTAGCCACAGAGACAGTTTGAGGTAGACCTTTCGACTGATAAGAGGACCTCGTGGGGTTGAGTCACCTGCCGTGCCGTGGGATAAGAAGATTGACCCCATGGACCAATGGCCCCATGAGAAGAAGATTGACCCCATGGACCAATGGCCCCATGAGAAGAAGATTGACCCCATGGACCAATGGCCCCATGAGAAGAAGATTGACCCCATGGACCAATGGCCCCATGAGAAGAAGATTGACCCGGCCCGAACCAGTCCGAATGAACCGGCTGGATCCAGCCCCACTCACTCACCATCCAGCATGTCGTAGCAGCATCCAGCATGTCGTAGCAGCATCCAGGTGAAATGAGTGAGTTTTCGAGACGTCCCGACATACTGTAGGATAATAAGAACACAATCGACTCACCATCCAGCATGTCGTAGCAGCATCCAGCAGCAGCGGGCCTCAACCGCGGGTTGTAGTCCTTGCGCCCGTTGAAGATAAGCAGCGGCGCGTACAGGGGCAGGCCACGCGGGCGGCATGACACGGTGCCGTTGGGCTCGCGCCCGTAGAAGCAGTGGCCGGCGATCTTCTCAATTCTGTGTCGGATGAGCGAGCTGTTCACGAGGAGCGTGAAGGCCACGACTGGAGGGAACGGGGTGGTTAGGCGGGTGCGTGGATGGGTGGGTAGGAGGGTGGGAGGAGGAAGAGGGAGAAGTGGGTGAGAGGGGGGGGTAAGGAAATGGGGAATCCAAGGGTGAAGGGTGGGGGGAATAAGAGGAGGAGGGCGGGGGAGGAGTGGGGGTTTGGGGAAGGGGGGGAAATCAACCCACATGCAACTGAAATGAGGCCATGGGATCTGATCACATGCAACTCTAAAGAGGTCATGGGTCCAAATCACATGCAGCTCACATGATGCCATGGATTCAAATCACATGCAGCTTACATGATGCCATGGGTTCAAATCACATGCAGCTTACATGATGCCATGGGTTCAAATCACATGCAACTCACGTGACGCCATTGGTCGACTGTCGAGAGTAGCCTGGGTGAACCGCTGGAATTTCGCCAAGTCACGAAAGTCCTCCTTCATGCTGATCACCAGGGGTGGGGTGGAGGAGGGAAGAATGCAAATGCATATTTAGGTCGACTCAAAGTCAAGAGTAGCGTGAGTGAAGCGCTGGAAGCTCGCCAAGTCTCGCAAGTGTTCCTTCATGCTCGTTGCCCCCGCCCCGGTGTATGGCGGAGGTGATAGGGGTGGATGGGTTCGGTGGGGTGAAGGGGGAAGTTGGCGGGAGGGGAAGGGGAGAGGAGAGGGAAGAAGGTAGAAGGGAAGAAGGTAGAAGGGAAGAAGGTAGAAGGGAAGAAGGTAGAAGGGAAGAAGGTAGAAGGGAAGAAGGTAGAAGGGAAGAAGGTAGAAGGGAAGAAGGTAGAAGGGAAGAAGGTAGAAGGGAAGAAATAGCGGAGAGGGGAGTGACAGAGCGGGGGAGAGGAGGGAAGTTGGGCAAGTTAGCCTGAAATTCACTATGCCCGAAAAAAAGGAGCTTAGATGGATTGGGGTGAAGGGCAAACACACCAAGTGTGGTGTGTCCCACCAGGATTAAAATAAAATAAATAAAGAAATAAATAAGAATACTTGATTCGTAATATTCTCACGTCAGACAACCAGGCCAAATGCAATAGTCACCTGGAGAAGCAAAGTGCGCCCGTGTGCTGTGGATGCCGTATCAAGGCAGTAGCCACATATGAAATCGGAGACAGAGAGCATGTATTGGCACGTGGTGGTGCTGTAAAGCTTAGCCCAGAGAGTCACAGCCCACTCGTCCTCGCAGTGCCTATGGGGAGCACTCAAGCCACTCGCGGCACTGGGTGGGAGAAGCACAGAGAATCGCACGGCACTCGTCCTCGCAGTGCCCTGCCCTGTCCTGCCCTGCCCTGTCCTGCCCTACCCTGTCCTGCCCTACCCTGTCCTGCCCTACCCTGTCCTGCCCTACCCTGTCCTGCCCTGCCCTGTCCTGCCCTACCCTGTCCTGCCCTACCCTGTCCTGCCCTGCCCTGTCCTGCCCTACCCTGTCCTGCCCTGCCCTGTCCTGCCCTACCCTGTCCTGCCCTACCCTGTCCTGCCCTACCCTGTCCTGCCCTACCCTGTCCTGCCCTGCCCTGTCCTGCCCTGCCCTGTCCTGCCCTGCCCTGTCCTGCCCTACCCTGCCATTCCCTGCTCTTACGTATCCAGGTAGTAGGCGCGGACGAAATCCGAAATGGAGCGTGTGTTGGCAACGGTGGTGTTGAACTTGGCGCCGATAAACGCCGCCCACTCATCACAGCGCCCCTCCAGGTCGCCCCTCTCACTCGCCTGCGCGTGCTGCCATGCGACTGTAAACACCAGCGACAGGATGGCGGCTGCCAGCAGCACCCACAGCCACAGCACTCGCTGGGAGGAGGGAAGGAGGTGGGCATGGGAGGGGTGTGATGTGACCACAGGAGCAGGAGGGGAGGTGAGAAGCAAGTTACTCTACGTGTTTTCCCTCTCATCCCACAAACCTTCAGCCCTACCATTGTAAACACCAGCAAGTTACTCTACGTGTTTTCCCTCTCATCCCACAAGCAGCTACTACATGAGCACAAGGGCGAACACCTGTTCGGTTCGCCTCAAACATGTTCGAGAAGAACCGAACACACCTAATCACCAAAAATTGTTCGGGCGAACCAAACATGTTTTGGGCGAACACACACACATGCAAACACACACACGCACGCACCCATGCACGTGCGCGCGCGTGCGCACACACGGTGACACACACACATACACACACACACGCACGCACACGCACACGCACACGCACGCACACGCACACGCACGCACACGCACACGCACACGCACACGCACGCACACGCACACGCACGCACGCACACGCACACGCACACGCACACGCACACGCACACGCACACACACGCACACCATTTTGCGTGGCACTATTCACAGCGTACCTTTTGCCACGGCGGTTTGCTGTGTTTAATTTTGAGGCGCCCCAAGACGAGACAGACACCACAGCATTGCAGCATTCGCGGCGTACCTTGCGCCACGGGTGGCTGAGTCGCCTGAGCGGCCACGACACGAACCACTCCACACTCGATACCCACGACTGCCGGCCTTTCGCCGCGTCGTCCGCCTCCTCGAGCATAGCTCTCTCCGCCTCCTCCTCCCCAGGTCCGAACTCACACCCCCGCCCATCATCAGACGCATGCCCCCCATCATCACTCTCTTGGCCCCCATCATCACTCTCTTGGCCCCCATCATCACTCTCTTGGCCCCCATCATCACTCTCTTGGCCCCCATCATCATGATCAGATGCAAGATACTCCTCAGCCCCCTCTTCCGACAAAGATTCACTCCTGCCGCCTTCCCTCTCACTCTCTGCGTCTTCCGCTCTTTCTTCTCTCGCCGCCTCCTCCTCGTTCTCCCAACTATCAATTTCCTCGGCACTTCTAGTACTAGAGGGATCGTATGCAGATTTTGTTCCTGTAGGTAATAGTAGACGGCGTGTCTGCTGTGGCTTTAAGCCGCTGTAGGTCAGCGAAGGACAGCACCCGACCCCCTCGTAAGCCTCATCTTGCCCCGTAAGCAATAACTCCTCGCAATCCTCCTCCTCTTCGATCTCCTCGTTACACGACGCTGTTCGATATATTTCGTGAGCTAAGCCGAAATTCGCCGTTTCCTCCGGAATAGAATCAGTGAAAATGGAATTGCTTCCGCTTAGGGTTCGAAACCCGACCCGTCGGCGAATGGAAGCCGGCATTCCCGTGCAATCCATGTCGTCGCGGTAATACTGTAACAGGTGACATGGAAAGTAGCTCAGCACTAGTGATGAGTCTTCAACAACAGAGAGGTCAAACGAAATGGTCGGGGAAAATCAGGCTGCGAGCTTGCTTTCTCGTCTGCTCTGCAGAAACAAGCTTGCAACACAATGGCTTTGATGAATTAGGTCCTTCAACGCCTATGGCCGCCATGGGAAAGAAATATAAGGAACTTGACGTCGCTCTCGCAACCCTAATTGAAAAAAAAAAAAAAAAAAAAAGAGTGGGTATTGAGCCCGTTGCCTATATTTTTCCTAGCATGCCCAATTTCTGGTTCTCTCAGAAAGTCAGCAACAGAACAAACAAAATGCTGCAAGGGATATGCTTTGCGGAACGGGAGATGCATCTTTAGGGTTGCCAGAGCAACTGAAAAATGTCCAGTCCTTGTGAGCCAAAGGCACCAAACCACGCACCAATGTCCGAAACTCGCGCATTAAATTCGCCAGCCTACCCACGCACTGTACGTGCGCAAACAAACCCACAGTCCCCCTACAGTACACGACAACATAGCACTGCAACCACTAGCGAGTCTGCTTACAGTACCGTGCCAGCTAACTCAGAGTTTGCAAATAAGGGTTCCAAATACGCAAAGTAACAACTCAGAGTACACTCCGTAGGAAGCATGCACCGAATCTTCTTTCACGGGCAAACTAACTCAGAGTTAGTGCTTTCCCTTACTCTGGCTTCTGGGTGAAAGTTGGCTACACTATTCTGGGCACGGCTCAAGAAGGGCTACCCCGAAATTGCCCACATTTGGTTCTTTCCAACTAGTCCCCACGGTGTGTTGCGTGAAGTTGCAATTGTTTGCCCCATGGTTACCCTTTCGAACATTTTCTTTCGGAAGGGGCGGCACTTCAGGTTGAGACAGAAAATTTTAACCAGAACAACTTAGAGAACCCCCTCGAAACTTCTTCAACTCAGAGTTACGAGGGCCACAGATCACCAAGGTAAGTTACAACTCAAACATTCACACGAGCGTAATGATTCATTGTCGGTGTACTCACCCAAAACTACACGGCTCGGCAACTCAGGGTTAGCTACTCTGAGTTAGGGCGGGTCCGAAGTGAAGTCGACATCCGTTGACATCCTATGTCGGTAAATCCTGACGGTTGGAACTCTCGATCCGAGGGTTGACATTTACCGACATCCATCGACATCCATTCGACGCTTCACTTCGGACACGCTCTTAGCGCCACAGAACAAGGCCCAGGCCTCGCACGCGCAGGAATGTACTTTATGATTGGATGATCAGATCGGATCAAGAGATGCCTTACCGCATGTCGCTTTGAATGGAATGCACTGAGCATTCTGGGCAAACTTTGTACCCCTAGATTCAGATCTACCCAAAGCCGTGTTATAAATCATTGCACTTCATTTAGCCCTAGCTTCAGCACCTCCAGAACAATCTTGAACTCTTTGGAGCACTGAAAACTCCTCCATGGAGATTCCTGGGCTAGTACCTCATGAATTACCACCATGCAGACTTCGATTCCCTGAGGCCCAAACATACATAATGCATTTCAAATGTGTGTGATTATGTATTGGTGAAGCATCGCCAGACAACCTTCGAGAGGGGGCCGTCATCGAGGGGTTTGGAGAGGTAGTCATCCATGCCGACGGCAAAGCAGTGCTGGCGCGTGCCGGCAATCACATCCGCTGTGAGCGCAATGATGGCCACATGCCCCCCGCCCTGAGCCCTCTCCCGCGCCCGGATCCTCCGAGTCGCCTCCAACCCATCCATGCCCGGCATCTGGGAGGGGAGGGGTGGGAAAGCGGGTGGAGAAGAGTTAGATGTGAATTTTACAATGAAATGCCCGCCGAGTCGCCTCCAGCCCATCCATGCCCGGCATCTGCATGGGGACGAGCGTAAAGCGAGGTTGAGGGATGGTGGAGATTCTCCTCACCTCCCACACATCTCCCCGTCTCCTCCCACACATCTCCCCACCTCCTCCCACACATCTCCCCACCTCCTCTTACAAATCTCCCCACCTCTCACACATCTCCCCACCTCTCACACATCAATCTCCCCACCTCTCACACATCGCTCCATCGCCTCCTAGGTTCACCTGCAAATCCATGAAGACAAGCTCGAAGGGGTGGGGCGGGGCGAGGGCGTCTACGGCTTTCATGCCGCCATCGACGGCGGTGACTCGCGCGCCGTGCCTCTCCAGCAGCTTGCTGGCCACCTTGCGGTTCACCACGTTGTCATCCACCACCATCACCCGCCGACCCACCAGCACCCCCAGCCTCTCCCCCACCGTCGCTGGCTCTTGAGTCGGCTCAAGCACCCCCAGCCTCTCCCCCACGGTCTCCCCTGCCATTGCTGCTGCAGCTGGTGCTGCTGGCGGTGCTGCTGTTGGGAATGCTGGTGGTGGTGTGGAGGGTGCTGGGGCTGGTGGTAAGAGTGATGGCGATGGTGTGCGTGTAAGGGCAGGGGACAGTGTGCCAACCGAGGAAGACTTTTGAGGCGCCTCAAAGGTCGTAACGGCAGGGGATAATGTTCCAACGGAGGAAGCCCAAGTGGAGGGAGAGAACCCTGCGAAATCCAGCACACTCTCAAACCCACTCACCCTGCCACCACCAGCACCAGCACCAGTCGCAGCAGCAGCAGCAGCAGCAGCAGCAGCATACTCGCCACCAGCACCTCTGGTGTTTGTGCTACTCCTCATTTCACCCTGTCTTGCACGGGACCGCCCAGCTGCTCTCTTTTCACCTGCTGACCCGTGCACCCATGCCCTCCTTTCACGCGAACCAGGTGCCTCCCCGGCACTGATGCCTCTTTCAAGGGACCTACCTCCCATCAACTTACCACCTCCACCTGCTGTACTACTGCCAATGCCAACCGATGCCAAACCCTCCAGCGCAGTAGCAGCAGCAGGTACGGTTGCAGCCGGTGCAATCAGGTGCTGGAGGGAAGCAGATCGGTTCACCAAGGAGGCACTGTTGCCATCCATGCCCTGTTGCTGCTGCTCTCCACGCGATGCCTCCTCCTCCTCACACACGATCAGCTCCTTTTTTGGTGGAGAGGCAACACGGCCAGTGCTGGCATTGGGTGACGTGTTTCGTGCCGCCACAGGGCTAGCAGCTTTGGATTTGGCAGCGTCAGAAGCGGGAGTGGTGGGAGTGGTGGCAGTTGTGGGGGTGGCGGGAGAGGTGGGAGCGGTAGGGGTGTTGGGAGAGTGAGATTGGCGCAACTTAAAGAAGCGAGGGGGATGGATGGACTGAGGGGACTTGAGCGCCCGGGGGGATGTCACAGCTCGCCAGAGGGCTGCTGCAGCGCTGCTGCCAGCCTTGTGGAGGGCTGATGGACTCACTACCTCCAATGCTGCACCACCCCACTGCTTCTTCCCCTGCCCCTCACCCTGCCCCTCACCCTGCCCCTCACCCTGCCTCTCACCCTGCCCCTGACCTTGACGATTGATACTGTCACTACAGTCTACACTGAGACGGCGGTGGCAGCACTGCTGCTGCTTCTGCTGGTGGTGGGAAGGATCTCGGCTGAACTTTACTAACCCATTCGTTCCCACAGTATGACCCTCGTCTCTCGCCCTCACCCCTCCCTGTGCTGCATCCCCATTATCGCCTCCTCCCCCTCCACCCTCCTGCGCACACCCACCTTGCCCCGTGTCCGCACCAAACAGCGGCAGAAGCGCCGCCAGCAGCGCCGGTTTCCGCAGGGGTTTTCTCACAACAGCATCGAAGCCAAGGGACAATAGCGAGGGGATGGACGGGGAGGGTGAAAGGGAGGGTGCAGGCGACCCGCTCCTGCTGGTGCCTCGGCGGACCCTTGTCACATCATTAGAGTCACCCTGCTTACACTCACAATCAGTCCCCGCCCACCTTCCATACACATTTTCGACTCTTCCAGCCCTCTCCTTGCTCTTACGGCTGCTTCTACTGCTCCTCTCCCTATTCCTGTCCCCCCTCTCCCTACTTTTGTCCCTCCTGTCTCTCCCATCCCTACTCCTGTCCCCACTCCTATCCCTGCCCTGCTCTCTAGTCCGCTGCCTTCTGCTCAGTTGCGCCTCACAGCTGCTCAGTTGCGCCTCACAGCTGCTCAGTTGCGCCTCACAGCTGCTCAGTTGCGCCTCACAGCTGCTCAGTTGCGCCTCACAGCTGCTCAGTTGCGCCTCACAGCTGCTCAGTTGCGCCTCACAGCTGCTCAGTTGCGCCTCACAGCTGCTCAGTTGCGCCTCACAGCTGCTCAGTTGCGCCTCACAGCTGCTCAGTTGCGCCTCACAGCTGCTCAGTTGCGCCTCACAGCTGCTCAGTTGCGCCTCACAGCTGATCTCTCTCAGCCCGTCCTGATCAGGTTCATGGGGAAAACTGTCCCCTTTATAAGCATCCCTCTCACAAGGGCTGAAACTGTCGGCCGTGGCAAGGCCTCCGGCAAGAGAGCTGGATGTGGGTGTGTTGGAGAAGTAGCCGTGCAGGAGCACAAGGAAGGGAACGGGCCATCTTCCACAGTCACTGCTCCTGCTGCACTGGCTGCCTTGCGCCTTCTCCTCCACTGCACACCTGCTCAATCCCTCCCTCATCATCTCCGCGCCTGCCTCCCTGCCCCCACTCATGTGTCCTACCTTGCTCGCCTGCTCTCTCTTACTCACATGCTCATGCGTGCTCATATGCTCTCTCTTACTCACATGCTCATGCGTGCTCACATGCTCTCTCTTACTCACATGCTCATGCATGCTCATATGCTCTCTCTTACTCACATGCTCATGCGTGCTCATATGCTCTCTCTTACTCACATGCTCATGCGTGCTCATATGCTCTCTCTTACTCACATGCTCATGCGTGCTCATATGCTCTTGCTCGCTCAGCGGCTCGCCGGAACCTTCCATCCCAAATCCTCCCTGGTCCATCAAGAGTGAATGGATTTGATCTGCTGTGACGCCCAGCCGCTGCATCATCTCCCCCTCCACCACCACCGCCCCCACCCATCCCCGCCTCTCCGCCCTGCTCAAGCTCTTGTAGTGCACCCGCTGCTGCGCCCCCCTTTCTCCATCCGCCTCATCTCCTTTGACCTCCTCCTCCTCCTCCTCCTCCTCCTCCTCCTCCTCCTCCTCCTCCTCCTCCTCCTCCTCCTCCTCCTCCTCCTCCTCCTCCTCCTCCTCCTCCTCCTCCTCCTCCTCCTCCTCCTCCTCCTCCTCCTCCTCCTCCTCCTCCTCCTCCTCCTCCTCCTCCTCCTCCTCCTCCTCCTCCTCCTCCTCCTCCTCCTCCTCCTCCTCCTCCTCCTCCTCCTCCTCCTCCTCCTCCTCCTCCTCCTCCTCCTCCTCCTCCTCCTCCTCCTCCTCCTCCTCCTCCTCCTCCTCCTCCTCCTCCTCCTCCTCCTCCTCCTCCTCCTCCTCCTCCTCCTCCTCCTCCTCCTCCTCCTCCTCCTCCTCCTCCTCCTCCTCCTCCTCCTCCTCCTCCTCCTCCTCCTCCTCCTCCTCCTCCTCCTCCTCCTCCTCCTCCTCCTCCTCCTCCTCCTCCTCCTCCTCCTCTTCTCCTTCGTCCCCCACCTCCACCTCCGCCTCTCCCTCTTCCTCCTGCTGCTGTCGGCGCTGCTGCTCCTCTTCCCTTCCACCCACAATGTTCTCGCTCGAAGAACGGGCAATTATCGAAAGCGGAGGGCAGGAGGACTGGCGGGAAAGGGGAGTGGGAGCGAGCGGGGAGAAGGTGGGGGAGGAAGCAGAGGGGGTGGAGGCAGAGAGGCGGAAGGCGAAAGGAGCCACAAGAACAGCCGGCGAGCCAAACGGCTCGAGACGAGGCTCGGGAGGAGGCTCGAGAGGAGGCTCGGGAGGAGGCTCGAGAGGAGGACATGAATGGTTGTTGATAGGTTGTGTGGTGGCTTGTGAGCAGGGAATGTGGGGGCTAAGCGCAGGATCAGGAGGAGGGCTTGTGAAATGTTGCGAGGTGAGAGGTGCGATCTGTGCAATTGCTGCATGTGCCTTGGAGCGAGGAGGGTTGAGGGGAGAAGGGACAAGAGGAGATGATGGGTGGGGCGTTGATGTTGCTGTGTGGGAGTGGGAGACTGTGCATAGGGCATGCTGTGTGAGGCGAGGAGGATGCAATGAAGGGGGGCGTGAGAGAGATGAAGCAGCAGGAGTGGGCTGAGAGGTTAGTGCAGCCTTGTGATGCTCCTTCCCCTCCTCCTGCTCCTCCTCCTCCTGCTCCTGCTCCTGCTCCTGCTCCTGCTCCTGCTCCTGCTCCTGCTCCTGCTCCTGCTCCTGCTCCTGCTCCTTCCGCTCCTCCTGCTCCTGCTCTTGCTCCTTCCCCTCCTCCTGCTCCTGCTCCTGCTTCTGCTCCTTCCCCTCCTCCTGCTCCTGTTCATGGCCCATGACATGGCACGAGCCATGGTGCATGGGATGACATGAGCCATGGTGAAAGAAGCGATGTTGGGCGAGGAGGCGGGGGAGGAGGCGGAAGGAGGGGCAGGGGAGGGTGCAGATGCCAAGGCGGCGCAGCAGAGAGAGAGTGACGGCATGCCGCACCGGCCGGTCGTCCACACTCACCACGCACACACCATCTAGCGCACCCGCTGTCCCCCCACCACTCACCGCACACACGCCCTCTAACCCACATGCCGCCTCCTGCTGTTGCTGCTGGTTGCCTGTGTCTTGTGGGGGCACTTGGCAGGAGCTTCGAGGAAGAGGAGAGGGAATGGAGGCAGAAGCGGAGGGGGTGGCAGCGGGAGTGGCTGAAGGGGTGGCAGTGGGAGTGGCAGTGAGCGTGGCAGAGGGTTTCGAAGAGGTTCGAGATGCAGTAAGTAGGGGCGGAGGGAGTGAGAGAGAGGAGGGAGGAAGGACAGGGGTTTGAGGAGAAGTGTGAGGTTGGGGGGGATGAGATGGGGAGGGAGGAGGGTGAGGGAGAGGGGGTGTGTGGAGGAGAGGGGGTGTGTGGAGGAGGATATCGAAGAGGAAGGTGGTGCCGACGCCTGGCTTCGAGACAAACGAGATGGATCCACCCATCAGCAACACCAGGCGCTGCAGGCGAGGGCGGGGGGAGGGAGGGGGGTTGGGGGGGGAGAGAAGGGGGTGGAGGGGATTTTAGTGGGGAAATGGAAGGATATGGACAGGAAAAGAAGGACAGCAATGTAAGTTGTCCCAACACAACGCACCTTGCAGATGGAGAGGCCGATAAAACGCCCCTTAAAGCCCAAGTTGACACATTCAATGACGCACTCCCAATGCAACGCACCTTGCAGATGGAGAGGCTGATGCCCGTGCCTCCATGCAGCCGTGCCGTGCTGCGCTCTGCCTGTGTGTACGGCCGGAAGATGTGCCTCCGCGCGTGCCGGGGGATGCCGGTACCTGCAGGAGGAACGAGCATGGGAGCACAATAGGTGGAGAACTAGGACCACAACCGTTTGCGTGAAGGACTAGGACTGGACCAGGACCAATAACGGGTATGGGAAGCGCACGTGAAAGCTTGAAGGCGTGCGTCATGACACATCTCACAACATGATGAGCGGTCTCACAACATGAGATCACGAATACTGTCGCCGTACGTACCTGTGTCTTCCACAGCCACCATCAGACGCACAGGCTGGTCGGGTGGCACGATGCGAGAAGCATTGCAGGCATTGCAGGCGCGGCAGGTACGATACGGCATGCTCACTGCACTGAGGTCCATAGGTTCCCGCATGCCCTTGCCCATGCCCTTGCCCATGCCCATGCCCATGCCCATGCCCACTGCAGCAAGATCCATGTGCTCCCGCATGCCCTCCCATGAGCACCAAGTCTCCACTGCTGGCCGGCCACTCAGCGTCAGGCACGCAGGGTCAGTGGAAGCACGCTCAACAGGCTTGCTACTGCCACCAGTGCTCCCACTCGTGCCACCTGTGCTCCCACTCGTGCCACCAGTGCTCCCACGTGTGCCACCAGTGCTCCCACTCGTGCCACCAGTGCTCCCACGCGTGCCACCAGTGCTCCCACGCGTGCCACCAGTGCTCCCACTCGTGTCACCAGTATCTTCACAGGAGTCATTGTCGTCATGAGTGCCACCATTGGCACTGGTGTCATTGTCTGCTTCAGTTGCAAGACGCACGGCAATGAAGACATGGCCCTTGGTGGTGAACTTCAAGGCGTTGCCGACGAGGTTGATGAGGATCTGATGCATACAGGGGGTGGGGGGAAGGGGGAGGCAAGGGCATTGGACCAGGGGAGTGGGGAGGCAAAGGGATCGGTGGTGAATTTGAATGCGTTGCCCATGAGGTGATGATGATTCAACTCCCAGCATCTGCACTTTCCCCTCTCATATTATGCTCACCATGGCATGTCCATACTAGGCATGAGCAACCGGCCCAACCCGACCCCACCCGACCTGGCCCAGCCCCGGGCCAGGATGTTGGAGACCCTGACCTGATACCGGGTGACCGGGCTGGTCTTTACCTGACCCGACCTCAGGTCGGGCCGACCCGAGGTCGGGTCGCATACAGAAAACCCGCTCTCGCTGACGCTCTGCGCACATCGGCGATTTCGTTGGCATAACTGTGGAGATCGGGATTTTGCCTGACATTTTCTCAGCCTCCAACAAATGTGTTGGAACAAACATTTCCAACCAATTCGACACTTCTCACCATTCGTAACAGCACTAAATCTACCATTTTTAACCCCCCCCTTCCCACTCTTATCTCTCGACATTGATTTTCTGCACATAGTCGACAAGTACTTGCCTATGTTGCGCCTGACGCGTCAGGCGTTTTTGACGCTGGCGTCTGGACGGGGCGTCCAGACGCTTGACGCCCGGTGCCCTCTGCCCTGGACGCCCGCTTGACGCTAGTCCGGGCAGGGCAAAAATGTTTTCCGGGCAGGGGTAAAAAAACCTGCCTAGTAAGGATACGCAGGGGTTAGAATGCAAGAAGTTAACATTTGTCACCTATAGTTATAAATACTCCATAATATCCAGAAAATCATGAAAATCTCCAGAAGGCGTGGAGGCACTAACAGAATGACCGGCGGGACTAGGAGTTGACATGATATCTTAATCGCCTTAACCTAATTTTAGCTAGGAAGGCTTAGTAGCGTGACTGGCGAATTCTAGTGTAAGGAATGCTTGACAATGTCGAGAGAAACAGATCTGTGTAATGTCGACCTAGATCTGGGAAGACGTCGCCCGAATCCCTCCGCGAAAACCCGTTCGCCCCTGCGGGTTTTCCTCGGAGGGATTTTCGTTTTCCCGCCGTCGCCTAGCGAAGCACGCGAGGGGCGGGAGCCACCCCCCCCCTCCCACCCGAAAACGGGCACCCCCAGCTGGCGCCAGCTGCCGATTACGCCAGCAGCCCGCGCCCTCGAGCTGGCAGTGGTCCCCCTCCCAAACCGAGCCCAACCCCCCAACCGAGCCCAACCCCCCGCTCAGTTCGTCGACGGGTTCCGTCAGGTAACCCACCCGTCCCTCGCCGAGCGACGCCTCGCCGACGGAACCAGTCCGCGATATTTCGCCGGCCAGACGAAAGCGACGCCCATCTGCGCCGCGCTCCACCGCTCTCGCCCTAGACGGGCCCGTTTCGTTCAAGCCGCTCGATCTTGGCGACGTGTCGAAGGCCCCCTCCCGAACCTTGGAAGGGGCCTTTCAGCTGCATGCAAGGCTGCCCACCCTAACGACCAGGTTTCACGTCGAGGCCAATGGGGCCCCGCCGGCCTCCCTCCTCCTCCCACGTCTCGGAACGCGCCCTGCCTCCTCGCCCTTGAACCCCCCTGGTCCGTCGTGGTGGGAGGGATGGCAAACAGCTAATACCCTGCGTCCGGTCTCATTTTGTTGCTGTTTCCGATTTTTGCTTCCCTACTTCCTAGTCCCTGCTAGTTCCCAACTCCCCTGCGCGTCCGCCCTCTCCACTGCTAGAACAGACATGGCTACGGGCCCCGCCTCCGTACCCGTCATGAACGAGGCCACGGTTCGACGCGGCCTCATCCTTAGTGCAGGCGGGGTCGAGGTGGAGGTGTTCGAGCACCAGCTGAATGCGATTAGAGAGGCGCCGAAAGGGGAGCTCGACGAGAGCATGATGGTCGCGGGCGTCGTGTACGTGTCCTGTCGAACATTTTCGGTTTGCCATGTTTCGGTTTACCAATCGCTGACGTTGACTTAGCTTTCCGTGCAACCAGTTCTGTCATGAACTGCTCTCCGTCGAGCAGCTCCCCAGGGTGTCGATCGTGACTCCGGCGCGTGCGCGTGAAGAGATGGCCCGTCCCACCCCGGTCGCTTTTGCGAACAACCACCTCAACGGCCTCCTCGGCAAGCAAGTGGTTTTCGTTCTACTGCGGACACCGTGAGTTCGACACTCTCCCGTCGCCTTGCGTGCTCCGTCTTTAGCCCTGAACCCGTTCTCACGTGCATTGGCTGTGCATGCAGACTGAGTGTGCCTCCGCTCTCCCACTCGAGCCTATTTGTGGTATCGCGCCCCGATGATCTGCTGGCTCCGAGGCACCGTGGCAGTCGAACTCGAATGATGCACTTCGATTCGAAAGACAAGTTTCCCGATATGAACCACCAATCTTCTCTGGCGCAAGAAGTTTTCGTGTGAGTGACAGCTTTGCAACCCTGCTGTCGAGCTGCTGTTCTCGACAATCTTACTCTTCTGTCCTCTGCGTCGCAGGTGGATGAAGAAGCAGCTTCGCGCCGAGTACGCGATGACCCACCAGGCTCTGACCGAGGACGACCAAGAAGTGTTGAAGGTGATGGACCTTCGTCTGGAGTTGAACGAGGATTTCGACCATCTGGTAAGCTCTCCTTAGACCAACAGCGTTTTCGCCGAGCAAGTGTTTTGTCGCTTACGTATGTTTTGTACCGGTCGCAGACGACGACGGCCTTGTCGAGCCCCTATCAAAACGGCGCGGCAGCTCGTGTCGTGCATGGGGTGCGCCGGATTCTGTCGAAATGGGACGACTTCATCCTACAGCCTCGAAAGGGCGAACTCGTGCATCTAGGGAGAACGAACCCTGGCCCGGGTGTGCTTCCGTTGTTCATGGTCAAGCTGATTTCGAGAAAGATCGACCAGCTGGCGGAGGGAGCAAGTGTGGGAGGGGGTGCTGACCACGAGGGAGGAGGCGAGAAGACGGGACGCGTCGTGATTGAGTACAGCGTCGAGGAGGAGGAGGAGGAGATCGAGGAGGATACATCGAGGCAGGCTCAGCACGGGGCGAGCGGCCCGGGCGGCGATGCGAACCAGGACGAGGACTCGAGCTCGGAATCGAGCCCCGGCTCGAGCTCGAGCGATGAGTCGGTCGAGGACGACGGCGAGGGCGCCGGACATCGAACGGAGCGTACTGGGGAGCACGGAGTGGCGCTCGGGGAGCGGGTGGACGAGCGAGTAGAGCTTATCGAGCAGCAGGCGACAGGGGAAACAAAGACTGTCGAGGAGCAGGAGGGCGGAGCGGCTGCGCAGGAGGGTGGGGTCGGAGGGCAGCAGCAGGTGGTGGGCGAGGTGGCTGCGCAGGAGGGCGGGGCAGGAGGGCAGCAGCAGGAGGGCGTGGCGGCTGCGCAGATGGGTGGGGCAGGAGTGCAGCAGCAGGAGTTTAGGGTTGCGGCTGCGCGGGTGAGTGGGTCGGGAGGGCAGGAGCAGGAGGTCGGGGAGGCTGTTGAGGAGTATCGTCGAGGAGATGAGCGACAGGCCGCCGTAACAAGGAGTCACCGCACGGCCAGTGGCAGCGGACAGGCGGGCCATTCGACCGGGTGGCCTTCGACGGCAGGCCAATCGACGGCGAACGTTGCACCCGGAGGCTAGGTCGTCGAGCTACTGCAGAGGGTCGAGAAGGTCGAGGCGTCGCAGAAGCAGCTCGTCGCCGATGTATTTGCGAAACACACTGAGCAAGCCGGAGTATTCAACAGGCTTGCGGCGGATTTTCGGACAACGTGGAATACGATTTCGGAGTCGTCGAAGAGCACACTGTCGCAGTGTGCCGAGGCTGTGAAGGGTGTCACGGCGGAGAGGAACCTGTTGGAAGGGGCGCGGGCGAAGATCGACGAGATGAGCGGGAAGATCATCGAGGGGGTGGTAGCCGCCATCACAAAAGCGAGCGAGGACGCCGTCGAGAAGCAGCTCAAGCAGGTCGAGGAGCGGCTGGTTGCTGCGGTGCTGAAGGGTTTCGAGAAAGCCATCATGGAGGACATGTTTTGCTCCACTCTCCCACCCGAGACCATGAAGGAGCTGAAGGACATTGTGAGGGAAGGATACCAAGAAGCCGAAGCAGGGAGGTTGGAAGTCCTCACCGAAGCGATGGCGAGAGGTTTTCAGCGCTCGGCGGGCCCGTCGACGAGGTCGCGTCAGGAGGGTGTGGGAGGGGTTCGCAGCAGGGCTGAGCCTCGAGGTCACGAGCGGTCGGTTCCTCCGTCTTCTTCGGTGGGAGGACATGTCGGCAGCCCGGTTGGATCCCCACCGGCGCGTGGCCGTCATCCCGTCGCCAAGCCCGTCCCCAAGTCATCGTACTCGACCAGTCAGCCCTCCCGAAGACCTCCGTAGCGGCTCCGATCGATCAACCTGATGCGATTGCTTCGATGCGGGACATGCTGCAAGACCTGGGGAAAACGGGTGGGAAAGGAGTGGTCGCGGGGGAGAAAAGTGGTGCCCCGAACGAGCACGTCGCCTCAACCGGGAACAGAGCCCTAGGAATGCGAGGTGCCTCTACCCCGTCAGGCGGCGGTGCAGGGAAAGGAGCGGGAGAAGCAAGCGCTGGGTTGCTGTCGAAGCCTAAAGCGGCATCAGCTGCGCACGGCGGTGGTGCTGGCCTTGCTGCCGGGCTTGTGGGAAATTGGGCGTCTTCCTCAACCCCTCCAGTTGCTCCTTTCGCCGCTGCTCCGTCCCTAGGCAACGTTTGCCTTAGCGATCCGGGCTCCCCTTCAAAGTCGAAGAAGAAGTCGGCTGCGACGAAGTCGTCGAAGCGCGCTGCACACGCGACAGAGAGCCTTGACGTGGTGGAGCTGGCCAGCGTCCCTGGTCAGGCGCCTGTCGAGAAGACCTCTATTGTCGTTGCTGCTCGACATGAAAAGGCGAAGAAGGCCAGGGTCACGGGTCACACCCCACCTCCTCGACCGGACGACCAAGGCAAGACGAGAGGCTGCAAACGTCCCTTCAAAGGACCGGGTTTCGGGTTGCGGAAGGGGAAGCTGGTTTCCGAGCAGACCGTCGGCGGGAGGAAGCGGTTCCTTGGCACATTTGAAATAGAGAAGGACCAGAAGTTCTGTACGGCCGTCTGCTGGCGCGTGTACTTCCCCGACGTTGTCCTTACGGAGTACGAAGGGTACACGGCGCAGGATGAGGAGGACTGGAAGGTCTACCTTGATGCGGCCGCAGAAATGCCAACCGGCGTTTGGAGCGTGGCGCAAGAACAAGGGGAATGCCGTTTTGACGAGTAAGTCCTGTCGAAGTCATGTTGCTAGACTTTGCTGTTGAATTCCTGCTGTTTTGGTGATTTGTCGAACACTAGCTGTTTTGCGGTGAATGTGCTGTCGGTCGAATTCTGGCATCTTGACTAACGCATTTCTTGCGATGTGCATTTACCTGTCGCTGTTGGCGACGGCAAAAAAGGAAGCGAAAGCTGGAACCGAGAGGGGAATCGCGCTGTGCGTGGCGATTGGTAAGGTCGCGACGCTTGGCCTGAAGCACGGGAATCTGATTTACCCGGTCCCGAAGGGCATGGCGGCGACACCGCACATGATGGCCATCGCAGCAACTATGGCGAGCTTGTGGGCGGCCTGCAGGAAGTTGTCGAGGGAGGATATTAAGAAGGACGCCCTAGCTGCCGCAAACGGGGCGATCTACGCCCCGGAGACTGCAAAGAAGGCTTGTGTGGCTGCCATGTCCGCACTCGTGTCCATACTTTTGCACGTCGGCAAGACGTTCCCGGCGAAGCAGTGGCCCGATCACCTGTATTCGTCGGCTGTCGAAGGTCTCGGCTCGACGGACGCCATATTGCTGCAGATGCTGCGCGTGGCAGCACAGGTCTGTACGCAATGGTGCTGCTGTCGAGCTGCTGCCCGCTTGCTGGAGGACGCGGGCTATGGCAGCCTGGCTATGCCAGAAGAAAAGAGCAAGGCGAAGCAGGGCGTCGAGGATGCAGCTGAGACGGAAACTAGCGGGCAAGGGGAGTAGTCTAGGCGGGCACTTTGCGTGGGGGTGTTTGCCATTCTCGACAGTTGTGTTAGTTGTTTCCAGAGTTTAATCGACAGCATGTACATGTTGCATGAATCTTGACTTTCCGTGTGCGATAATGCTCAGAAGGTTCATACAGGCAAGATGGTCGGTCAGTAATGAGAATCTGCCATGCAATCTCTGAAAGAACACCCTACTCTACTTTCCCCCCTCGTCAGGATTGCCTGTCGAACTTGGGCTCTCGCCCAATGTTTTCATGAACTCTTTCCATTTGTCTTTGAGCACGTTCTCGGCCCATTTCGTGGTTCGAAGCTCGACGCGAATGAGCTCCCGCGTGATCCTGAGGCGATCTTTGTCCTTCCGGTTGTCTTCTGCTGTCTCGACTTTGCGCTTCTTCGTGAGCTGCTTCCCCGAATCCTCTTTGAGAACGAGCCCTTCAGCCAGCATGTTGATCGAGTGGTTCGCGACTATTGAGTCAAGCTTATCAATGATCGTCGACGTAGCCGCGCTGCTGTCGTCGACCCTGAATATCTCGACGGCCCTCATGACAACCTCCATCTTCCGCAATTTCGACTCGACAGCTTTTGGGGTCGGTGGCTTTTCTTTTGGCTGGTCCACCGCAACCTGGGGAACGGTGGGAGGAGTCGGAGTGAACTTGCTGAACTTGATGGCGAAACCCCTCCTGTAAGCGTGTCGAAGACTGTGTCCGTTGTTCAGCGGGCTTGGCCCGTCCCAGTACGACCACGCCTGCCGCACGGTCTCGCAATTGCACCACGACCACACCACTGCGTCGAAGAATGCTTGGTCGAGCTGGCTGCCCTAGCTCTGTTGAGTGGGCGTTGATTGAGGGGGTTGCTGTGGTGGCGGGGTGGTTTCTTCGGTCGCCGTCTGCGGCACACTCTCGCTCCCCCCCACACTCGCAGCTGCGGTTGTCGCGGCGGTAATCTTCAGTGCGTCGAACGCTTTCTGCAGTAGCGCGAGTGCTTCTGCCTTCGCCTCCAACTCCGCTTGCATCGCGCCCTTCTCCCGCTCCAATGACTCGACCTTCTGCTCGAGGCCCTTGATCTTGATTTCTTTTTTCCCACCCTCCTCCTTGTGTAAGTTGGCCTCTGCCCGAAGTTGCGTGATGAGGTGCTTGGTGTTGAGTTGAAAGGATGCGTCCTGCGCACAAGATCACGAGCGGTAGGTAAGTGGGCTGATGCAATCTGTTCGGATTAAAAATTAGAAGGGCCATCTTACCGAAGCTTTCGACAGCGTGGGGTTGGTCCGCATCTCGATGCCGTATTTGTCGAGCAGGTACACGTCAAGCGCCCATTTTTGGAAATCCATGTCCTTGCACAAACCGGACATCTGTACATAAGGGTGACGCTCGCAGTCGCAAACAGTCACTCCGTCGAAGGGGTGGTCGTCACAATGGACGTAGTACATCGCAAGATCCTCGGCGATGGGCATTCGGACGGCCTGCAGGGCCTTCAAGAAACTTTTCGCTGCGAAGAACATATGCTCCTTGTCCTGCTCGTTGTTCCATTCCATCGCCTGAACAAGAACAAACGTGGTGACATTGAGAGATAGATGGGCAAAACTTGCATTCGATGATCACGCTAAGCGCTCGACGCATCCATACCTCGTCGAGCCACTGCTCCGCCTCTGGAAATATGTGCTCCTCGATAGCCTTCAGGACCTTGGCGGGTACTTCGCTCTTCGATCTTCCAAGGTAATAGTCACCCGGTTCCGTCGTGAAACCCGCTTGCAGCTGGATGGCCCCGCGCGGGATGCCTGTGACGTATGACCTGCGCATCTCGTTCATGTCCCATTGACCCAGCTGCGCGATGTTGTCGAGTTCACAGTTTTTGTCGGCGAGGATCTGTGCCGCAGACCGTCGAAAGATATGTGTGACTTTCGACAGGATCCACTCCGCGCTTTTCATCGCCCAGGTAACCCATTTGGCATGAGTCGCGTACGGCAACTCGGTCTTGTCTTTGCCGAAGAGGGCGAAGAACAGGTGCTTCTTTGACCAATTTTCCGGGTTGCTAAAATCCAAGGGGGGCACGATCTTATCGTTGTTGTAGTAGAGCGGCACAAGGTCGAAAATGAAATGTATCCACATAAACACTGCTCCGAAGCCGCACTGCCGGAAGTCCATGTGTCGAGTCAGGTACAGGTGGCCGAGCTTGTTGTCTTTGATGGTCTTCGAGTTGCGATAGGCGACCACGAGAACGTGGATAGACGATTCCCCCTTGCTGTTCGTGATGGGCGGAAGGACGTGAGTGAACATATTGCAGTAGCGGATCTCGCGGATGCTTATCCCCCTGCCCAGCATGTGATGCGCCATCAGGATCATCACCCTCACGGCCAAGGCCCTCCACAGCGACTGACTGGGGTAACTCATCGACTCCTGAAAGTACTCCTTGGCCCAGTACGGCAGGATGTCTGAAACGAGAATGCGGAACTGCTCCTCCGTGTAAACATCGTCGAGCGAGCCCCGGTGTGGATCGACGCACTGCCTGCATTGAGTGGGCAGATACAGCGAGTAGTTGGGTGAGAATTTGAGTGAAAAGTTTTAGAGTCCGGTGTATGGCAGCCTACTTACTCGAACTGAAAGTCGTGCAGCTGCCGCAGCTTGACCGCAAGAAGCTGCCGGGCCTCGGTGATGTCGTCCAAGGGTTTCGTTAGTGGCTCGTCGAAGAGTATGGCCTCTACTCTGCAGAAGCACGTCAGCGCAGTAAGGCGCGCCAGCATCATCGGAGGGGTGCTTTTTTTCGCCTTCCTTCCAGCGACTCTGGTCCGGCCTGTGTCCAACGAAGCCGCTTGTTGGTCGGTTTCAGTCGACATGTATTCGACGTACGCGCGCAAGCGCCACTTCGTTATTTTCGGCCCATGTAGGTGCTCCTCGTTACGCAGTGCCTCCCTCCATCTCGGCCCCATATCGTCGCCGATCTCCCTATCGATCTCGTCCTCGTAGATCACCTGCTCCTCTTTAGGCACTCCGTTGCTTCCCTCGGGTGCCAGAATTTTACAGGCCCAAGCTTTGTAGTGCATGCTTCCAGAGACATAGTTCGGCCGTGTGGAATCCTGGTCAACTCCCAGCAGCGGAACCTCACACCGGAGAATCCTGCTTTTAAGTGTTCCGGTCGCCAAGTACGGATTGTCTGCGCCCGGTTGGTCGCCGAGAATGTGCGCGGCATCCTCCTCTGAGATATTTGCCGCAGCAGGCCGCAGAGGGTCTGGCGGTTCGACATCGTCCGCCTCCTGCTGTTCTCCCGTTTGAACATCGTCATCGTCCGTTGCTTCAGGGACGTTCCTGGCTAAGTCCTCTCTGCTTGGTCTCGTCGAAGTGCGCCTAGGAGCGGCGGGGCCGGCTCGAGAAGCGGATGTGTCGGCAGGGGGTGGTTGGCGAACCTCAAGCGGAACAGCCCTCGTTCTCCTACGTCGCCCACCTGTCGAGGTCGGTGCACCAGCTGAAGGTTCCGTCGAGCGGTGGGCTGTCGACGATGGTGCACGGTGAGCAGGAGCCTCGTGTGTAAAGGGGGCATTTGTTGTCGAGATGGGTTCTACGACAACAGGTATGGATTGACCTGTCGAAGGGAATTCGGTCAGTGCACCACCCACTTCAACAGTGACCGAAATATCCGTCGAACGCTGGTCCGTAACAACCGGCTGTATTACTACCGGTATGGCTCGCGACGTCGAGGTGGGCGCTGCCACCTCCGGGATGGCACGCGTCGTCGAAGGGGCCGTCGAACGCTGGTCCGTAACAACCGGCTGTAATACTACCGGTATGGCTCGCGACGTCGAGGTGGGCGCTGCCACCTCCGGTATGGCACGCATCGTCGAAGGGGGCGCGGAAGAAACCGGCGTGGCTCCAGACGACGAAGGGGGTGATGTCGAGATGGACTCCAATTCGACAGGTATCCGTCCTACGTCCGCCTGCCGGGAAGGCGCTGTCGTCGACGGATCGGTCTCCATCAGTGCCCACCGAAAGCTAGCAGTTCTCCCTAAATCCTGGCCTGCTGAGGAAAGTGTGGTGCTTCTACTATGAATTCAGGTTTATGCAGTGACCTTGGGCTGATGTTGCTCCCCGTGGAGAGTGAGACATTTGACGTGGCAGTCGGCAGTTGACGTGAACGTTTGACTGCGACAGACGTAACCCGTCGCCCATCCGACAGCGACAGTTCGCTCGACCGACGAGGCGACAGGTCGGCCGCAGTTGACGTCTCCGTCGATTGCGACAGTCGGTATTTCGCAACCGTCGACCGTCAGCGCCACCGTGTGGGCGACATGCCACCGGGTGTAAAAAGCGTTGTCGGGGGTGCACGGTGCTCGACGGCGATTGGCCAATGTCCGTCGAGCACTGTTCGACAAATGTCCCCGAAATTGCAACAGTTCGGCCGACATATATATGAGAATAAGAATACGACATTGAACCCGCGGGTTTCGGAGGGTTTTTTGGCCTGGTCAGCCGGGATTTTTCGAGGGCCCGGAGGGATTCGGAGGGTTTTTCGTTTTGCCTCAATTCCCTTTGTGCCAGGGCGGGCGGGGCGGCATGTGATGACGTCACCCGTGTGTATATAATTGGTTCTCTAGTTTAGTTGGGGGTCGACCAGGTTGGGAGAGGTAGATGTGGATGGGTACAAATGTGTGGGGGGGAATAAGTGAGGGTTGCGTTTTTTAGGTCAAAAACGCGGCCCCCAGATGGCAATTTCATCGTCAATTCTGGTCGCAATGAAATCGCGAGTCAATTTCGTGCAGGAGAATTTGTTTTTTTCGGGCTGCCCGAAAATTTTTTCCCCGAACGTCCAGCGTCAAACCGATTTGACGCGTCCAGCGTCCGGACGTTCACGTCCGGACGCTGGACGCTGCCCTTCCAGGGCGTCAGGCGCAACATAGATACTTGCCTAGAAACTAGGATTTCTGACGATAAGTTAGGTTGCGGGTCGAGGGTAAAAACGTCCCCTCGACATCGACTTTAGGGTTTTCCCTAGTGTCGTAATCGGGTCGGGTCAAAGCCCGAACCGGTTACCCTGTTTTTGACCCGGCCCGAAATTTGACATCGGGTTGGGATTTTTGCCCAGGCCGGCCCGACTCGACCTACCCGGGCCAGGTCATTGAAAGTCCTGACCCGACCCAGGCAAAATCCCGGGTCAGGTCGGGTGACCAGCCTTTTCCTCATGCGTTGTCCATACTCCACCACCGTCACACACTGCGAAATGTGGTCACAATTGACATTGCCCCCTGCCTGCACCTTGCAGGCTTCTATAGTGTGTCATATGTTGCCTGGCCCACATGTGCAACATGAGACCTCACTTCCTAGCTTGACAACATTGGCTAGCCTTGAACTCAACTTTGAGATGCTGCAACTAGCCTCATGATTTTAGTCATACATATAGGGCTTTGTCACTTCACTAGAACTCATCCTTGGATTATGAGGTTGTTTTGATCTCTATATTTCTACCAACTTCCTAATCAAGGACACTTTCACCTTCCCATTTTACATTAAGGTTTACCGATTGAATTCCTACGGGCATGAACCAAAGAGGTTCGGTTGGGCCAGAAAGCAAATCTGAACCTGTTCAACCCAACCTGGTTCGAGTTCGGTAATTGCTCATGCCTGTTTCTTACACCACACGCACCTGCTTCACTCGGAGCGGATCCCCAAGGAGTGTCTCCGGCACATCGTCCGCCACAAACGCAGCAAGCTCCACGCAACGCTTCTCCTGGGCGCTCTCCACGAAGAGTCCCAACACATCATCCAGCTCGGCTTGGAGATTCAAAGGGATGCGCTCGAGGCAGAGCTTCTCGGCCTCGATCTTGGAGAGGTCGAGAATGTCGTTGATCAGCGCACACAGCGCCCGCCCGCTGCTGCACGCCGTCTCCGCGTAGTCCTGCTGCGTGCCGTCCAGAGGGGTCTCCATCAGCAGGTTTAACATGCCTAGATGCCAACATGATGTGAGGTTGCAAGAAAGGTGACATTAAGAGAACAGGTGATCAAGACAGGTAGACAAGGAGACAAAGAGACAAAGAGAAGAGGAGACGAACTTTTAGGAGCCTTAAAGTACACTGGAGGCGGGGAGGGGGACAAGGAGACAGGCACGGCTTGCTCAACCTTAAGCATGATAAGATCCATATTATTTCGCATGAAGCAAATACTAGTGCAGATCTTGTACAACACGGTGGCGAGGAGCTCCTCCTCGGTGCGGTTCGCGTGCGATAAGACCCTGTTTGAGGCAAGGCAGGCACCTAGTACAGATCAACCACGTACCAATGACACCATTCATGGGCGTGCGGATTTCATGCGACACGGTGGTGAGGAAGTCTCCTTTGGCCCGGCTCGCCGCCTCGGCCTCCACTCGAGCGGCACGGAGCTCCTGCTGCGCCGCAGCCAGGTGCTGACAGTCGCACTCAAAAGCGTGCATGAGCTGGACGCTCGTCCAGAGGAGGATGGTGGAGACGGCCAGGAAGAGCGCCGCTACCAATATACAGACGAACGGTCCAAACGACGGGGAGTAGGAGATGTGCCTGTGTGTTGGGATGGATGGGGGGTGCAGAGAAGTGAGGAGGAGGGCATGACAGAGGAGAACAGTGCGAAGGGAGGATGCGAAAGATAGGAATTTGGAAGCACGGAAATTGGTACGATGTCATGGTGTTTGAGAAGGCAAGACTTGCTTTGGTATCCCCTTTGTTGGCAAACATACAAGTGTGCATGCATGCATGCATGTATGCTCTGCCGATTCGACCGAGCCTAACTCTGGCTTGGTACTATGTTCATGAACCGATGCAAGTCCTTCGCATCGCACACACCCATGCACACATCAACTCACTGGCAGTAAAGAAAGACGCTTCTTGCAGGATCACCCAAATGCAGCGCCTGTCGCACTTTCGTCCCTTCCTTCTCCTTCGTCATCCACACACCAATTTCCTCCTCACCTACCACCCCCTCATGGTCGAACAGCAGCGCAGGCAGCCACCCACTAGCCGGTCCATCCACACTCTGCCCTTCCCCATTCAGCACATCCGCATTTTGAGCACCATCCCAAGCCCCTCCCCTCGTCCCATCCACCAGATAAACCCTTGTGTTCAGCTCCACCAGCTGCTGAAACCCCTCTAGCGATCGCAGGTTTGCAAAGTTATACCCCGCGATGACAAACCCCCGCGGGAGCACCCCGGGGGTGGCGAGAGGAGGGATGGTGACGGAATGAGGGGTGGACGACGGGGGCAGGGCGAAGGTGGTGAGGTTGAAGTAGACTGGGAAGACTTGGCTGATGAAATGGTAGGGGTAGTTGTCGCGGACAAAGGGAGGGGACATGACTGAAGCGGCTGAATCGATGGACCTATGGACCATGTCACTCACTGCTGGGTCTGCGAGGGGTGGTGGTGGGAGGTGGTGGATGGGGAAGGAGGGCAGGGTGGAGGGGAATGCGTCATCATTCTCAAGTGACGCGTACAGGGGCAGTCCACGGGGCAGCAAGGTGACTTTTGAGTCGACTCAAAAGTCACGTCATTATTCTCAAGTGGCGTGTATAGTACAGGGGCAGGCCAAGAACACGGAGCCGTTGACCCCGGAGCTTTTCTGAAAGTTAAGACATTCAGAGACCTCTACAGAAGTAAAATCACGTTGAATGATTTTTCTTAGAGAATCCTTTGGAAAACAAATAACACACCCAAAACTTTTTTTTTTCCAAAAAGATGTTTGAAAAAGCAGAATCTTCCTGAACCACCTGAGAGCATGTCGTAGCAGCAGCCATCAGCGGGCTTCAGGCGACGGGTGAAGTCCTTGCGTGAGTTGAAGACCAGCAGCGGTGCGTACAGGGGCAGGCCACGTGGCTGGCAGGACACAGAGCCGTTGGGCTCGAAAGCGTAGAAGCAGCCTCCAGACATCTTTTCGATTCTGTCTCGGATCAACGAGTTGTTGATGAGGAGAGTAAAGGCCACAACTGCGGGCATGGGTGGGTACGTGGGTGGGTGCGTGGGTGGGTCAAGTTCCACTGATGCGTTTGGTCGGCTAGGATTTGAACCACATGTGGCTCACACATGATGCCACATATGTCAGACAGGACCAGGTCACATGAGACTACCAAGCTGTCACGGGTGAGCTCACATGCAATTCACAAGAAACCTATACATATGCGGTTCACATGATGCCATGGTCCAATCACATGCATCTCATCTGATGCCATGTCATGGTCCATGACTCATGGATCAAACCAAACCATGTGCAACTCGCATCATGGCGAATTCATGATTTCAGATGTCAGAAATATAGAAGATGCTGTGCGTAAGACAACATGCAATGCAGCTCACATGACGCCATGGGTCGACTGTCGAGAGTAGCTTGAGTGAACCGCTGGAATTTCGCCAAGTCACGAAAGTCCTCCTTCATGCTGCTTGGGGGCGGTGGGAGTGGGTGGGTGGGAGAGGTAGGGGTGGTGGGAGTGGGTTTAATACCTGGAATGGGGAAGTTGGCGGAGGGAGGGGAGCGGGAAGAAGGTGGGAGCGATGGAATAGCTGGGAGGGATGGAATAGCTGGGAGGGATGGAATAGCTGGGAGGGATGGAATAGCTGGGAGCGATGGAATAGCTGGGAGCGATGGAATAGCTGGGAGCGATGGAATAGCTGGGAGGGATGGAATAGCTGGGAGGGATGGAATAGCTGGGAGCGATGGAATAGCTGGGAGCGATGGAATAGCTGGGAGGGATGGAATAGCTGGGAGGGATGGAATAGCTGGGAGGGATGGAATAGCTGGGAGGGATGGAATAGCTGGGAGGGATGGAATAGCTGGGAGCGATGGAATAGCTGGGAGCGATGGAATAGCTGGGAGGGATGGAATAGCTGGGAGCGATGGAATAGCTGGGAGGGATGGAATAGCTGGGAGCGATGGAATAGCTGGGAGCGATGGAATAGCTGGGAGGGATGGAATAGCTGGGAGGGATGGAATAGCTGGGAGGGATGGAATAGCTGGGAGCGATGGAAAAGCTGGGAGCGGAGTAACCGGAAGGGGGGAGGGGAAGGAGGTAGGGTAAGTTGCTTAAAAATCACCATGCAAGAAATGGGGAGTGTTGGAGTTGGCTGAAAGGGCGAACACACCAAGTGTGGCCTGGCTGGCCCACCAGGCAAATAGAAAGGTTGATCCTTACATTCTATTCTCAGTCGTCAGACAACCAAACCTGGAGAAGCAAGGCACGCCCGTGTGCTGTGGATGCCCGGGGCAGAGGCATTGCATTGCATTGCACGCGCAACTCTAGGAGAGGCATTTCACTCGCAGCAAAGGAAACAGGTGACCCTGCCCTGTCCTTCCCTGGCCCTTACGTATCAAGGTAATAGGCGCGGATGAAGTCGGAGATGGAGCGTGTGTTGGCAGCCGTGGTGTTGAACTTGGCCTCTATGAACGCCGCCCACTCGTCGCAGTGCCCCTCCAAGACGTCCCTCTCGCCCGCCTTGACTTGCCGCCACGCCACCGCAAACACCATCAGCAGGATAGTCGCTGCTAGCACCACCCACCCCCACAGCACTCGCTGGGAACGGGATGGCCGGGGTGGGGAAGGGAGGCAGGGGAGTGTTGGTGGGGAAGCAGAGAAGCACATGGCTCTGAGGGTCGGGCCTCTCTCCTGCCTTGACCTGCCGCCACGCCACCGCAAAAATCATCAGCAGGATGGCTGCTGCTAGCACCACCCACACCCACAGCACTCGCTGAAACGGGGGAGGAGGGAGGGTGGGGGGAGGGGTGTGACGACAGGGGGCAAGCTGAGAAGCAAGTTACTGCAAGGAGTATTGCCATGCTGTTGCAAACACCTGTGAAAAGATGCAACTTTCACAGCAGACGCTGCAGAGGGGCAGGGAAAGAAGAGAGGGTACAGGGGAGGGTATAACATCTCACTACCCACTGGGTCAAAGCGAGGTGTCATATGGCGCAGCGGAGTGCCCATTAACACAGCCCACAGGCTTTACATACTCGTCCCCCTCTGGTTTGTCAACGTCCCCGTTGGCCCTCAACTTTAGAGAGTTGGGCCCCGCAGGGACCTTATTCCAGGATTTTTCGCTGGTTTCGAGCTGGTAACCACACTTCGATTCTCGCCGCGAATGGAAAGTGTGGACCAACCAGGATTCGAACCCTAGGCTCTGATTCCAGTATAACATCTCGCTACCCAATGAGTCTAAACAAGGTGTTATATGGCGCAGCTGAATGCCGATTAACGCAGCCCACAGGCGTTACAGAGGGTATGTCCACGGGAGGGACGGAGAGGAGACAGGATGGCTGACGTGCGTACCTTGCGCCACGGGTGGCTGAGTCGTCTGAGCGGCCACGACACGAACCACTCCACACTCGACACCCACGACTGCTGCCACTGCCGCCCGTTCGCCGCCTCCTCCGCGACCCCCTCTTCCGCCATGAATTGTTCCTGCATTGCCTTTTCCGCTTCCTCGAGCATAGCTCTCTCCGCCTCCTCCTCCTCCTCCTCCTCCTCCTCCTCCTCCTCCTCCTCCTCCTCCTCCTCCTCCTCCTCCTCCTCCTCCTCCTCCTCCTCCTCCTCCTCCTCCTCCTCCTCCTCCTCCTCCTCCTCCTCCTCCTCCTCCTCCTCCTCCTCCTCCTCCTCCTCCTCCTCCTCCTCCTCCTCCTCCTCCTCCTCCTCCTCCTCCTCCTCCTCCTCCTCCTCCTCCTCCTCCTCCTCCTCCTCCTCCGCCTCCTCCGCCTCCTCCTCCTCCGCCTCCGCCTCCGCCTCCGCCTCCTCAGGGCCGAACCCATAACCCCGGCCATCATCAGACCTATAACCCCCATTATCACTCTCCCGTGCGGCTTCCGCTCGTTCTTCTCTCGCCGCCTCCTTCCCGTTCTCGCGGCAATCGTTTTCCTCGGCCGAACCGCATTCGTCATTCCCAATGGCGCTGAAGTACGACAATGCAGCTCCAGGGGATCTCGGTGCGTTAGAGTCATGACACGGGGACGCGGCGAGAGCGGACGAAAAGTAACCCTCGTCCGAAACTGCTGCCTGTGTCGCTGAGCTTGAGACGTGACACGGGGACGCGGCACTATTAGAGGAATCGAAGACGGAATTTCTTGGAATTTCTGTAGGTAGCAGTAGCCGGCGTGTCTGCTGTGGCTTTAAGCCGCTGTAGGTCAGCGAAGGACAGCACCCGACCCCCTCGTAAGCCTTAACTTGCCCCGTAAGCAATAACTCCTCGCAATCCTCCTCCTCTTTGATCTTCTCGTTACACGACGCCGTTGGATATACTAAGTAAGCTAAGGTGTCGCAATTCGCTGTTTCCTCCAAAATAGTGTCGGTAAAGACGGAACTGTTTCCGCTCAGGGTTCGAAAACCGTTCCGACGGCCCATGGAAGCCGGCATTCCCGTGCAATCCATGTCGTCGCCGTAATACTGTAACGGGTGACATTCCAGTGGAACCGTAGCTCAAACAGCACTTTTGACGGGGTGTTCAAGAACAGAAAACAAGGCCAAACGAATTGGTCGGGGAAAACCAGACTGCGAGCTTGCATTCATCATCTGCTCTGCAGTAACAAGCTTTTGCACCACAATGCCTTCACGAAATGGTTCTTGAACCTGTGGCCGCCATGGGGAAGCAAGATAAGGTAGTAGGAACTTGACGTCATACATGTTACTTTATGGCTAGCATGAACACTGCTCTGTAATGTAATCTCCAACAGAACAACCCTAAGGACGTGTTACAATTGTCAGTGCACCGCGAATTCCTAAACGCTTTGTGGAACGAGGTACATTCCAGTGGCTTACGGTTGCGAGGGCAACTGAAAAATGTTCTCGTATAGAGTTATGGCTCCTGATATACAGTAAGTATGCTGGTGCATTGAATTCGCCAGCATACCCACGCACTGTACACCCTGTTTCGCGCTAGCAGAGCATCTGGTTGCAGAACATGCACTGGTTGTAGAACGTCACCACGTTTGAAATGGTCTTATCACCGACGGTACAAGCACATTCACAAGAAAGCGGTTAGATAGGATGCTGCATGGTAAAGAACATTAACCAAGCGTTTCAAAGCGGTTGAAAAGGGTATAAAGCGATAAAGAAAATTTTTGCCCCCAGTACCACTCCGTCAGCTGGTGCGGCTTTGCCCGCAGGTTTCAGCCATACGGTTTATGGCACCTGACCGCACTGTAGCAGCGAATCGCGCAAGGTGAGAGGGTCGAGAAACAGGGTGTACATGCGCGAAACAAATCCACAGTCCCCCTACAGTACTTTCAGTGCAGCTCATCTCATCCACAAAACGAGCGGAGGGTGCGCATCCACGACAACATAGTGCTGCACTGCACTGCAAGCACTCATGACAGCGCACCACAGAGACGCACACAACCTGCTCGCACACACCACATGTACAGTACGATCGGATACCTCCGAATTTGTCGGGATGATAAAGTGAATTTCTTTTCAGCATGTTGACTTCTTATCGAATAGAAGCTCACATGGGCATAATAGGAAACATTAAAAAAAAAAAAAAAAAAATGCCTGTCTCTTATAATCAAGGACCGAATGTACTGTGCAGTGCCTGGATTACTGTGCGGGGAGACAGTATAAATGATCATGTCTTGGCGAGGCAGCGCCAGACGGCGTGGGAGAGGGGGCCGTTGTCGAGGGGTTTGGAGAGGTAGTCATCCATGCCGACGGCAAAGCAGTGCTGGCACGTGCCGGCAATCACATCCGCGGTGAGCGCAATGATGGCCACATGCCCCCCGCCCTGAGCCCTCTCCCGCGCCCGGATCCTGCGAGTCGCCTCCAGCCCATCCATGCCCGGCATCTGGAGGTCCATGAGAACGAGATCATAGGGGTGGGGCGGGGCGAGGGCGTCTACGGCTTTCATACCGCCATCGACGGCAGTGACTCGCGCGCCGTGCCTCTCCAGCAGCTTGCTGGCCACCTTGCGGTTCACCACGTTGTCATCCACCACCATCACCCGCCGACCCACCAGCACCCCCAGCCTCTCGCCAACAGTCGCCGGCTCCACTGCCACTGTTGTTGGCTCTTGAGCCACTGCTGCCGCTGCTGCTGGCGGTGCTGCTGCTGCTGGGACTTTTGGGGCTGCTGGTGCTGTTGCTGAAGATGATGCTGGGAATGATGGTGTTGGTGGTCGGGGTGCAAGTGCTGGTGTTGGTGATAGTGATGGTGATGGTGTGCGGGTGATGGCCGGAGAGAGGGTGGCAACGGAGGGTGATGACGCAGGGGTGAGGTCAGCAGGGCGAGCATACTGAGGAGGGATCCCTGAGAAGTCGAGCACACTGCCGAAACCACGCACTCGACCACCACCACCACCACCAGCTGCTGCAGCACCTGAAGCACTACACCGTCCGTTGCTGCTTCTCCGTTGATCGCTCTCTCTCCCACGCAACTTCCCACCTGCTCTCCTTTCTCCTGCTGACCCATGCTTCGCGGCCCCCCTTTGGCCCTTGGGCCCATGCATCTCTGCCCGACGTTCTGCTGCCCCAGCTGCTTCCACCACACTGCCACCCCTCACCAGAGCTCGGAACCCCTGAGGCACATAGTGCTGCAACTGCAACCCCTGGGGCGAGTACAAAATCTTCTCATCAGCACTGCGAACCCTCACCAGAGCTTTCCTTCCCAAAGTACCACTTTCACTCGCAACGGCAGCAGGTGTTAAATCGGTCGAAGCAGCACCTGTAGCACTGGCAGCGGGTGTTAAATTGGCCGAAGCAGCAGCAACAGTAGATGCCAAGTTGATCGAAGCAGCACCAGTAGCACTGGCAGCAGATGTCAGATCCATTGAGACTGTGCTACCATCCATACCATCGATGCCACTCATTTCATCCAACACTGCATCCTCCACCACCTCCTCCTCCTCCTTCTCCCTCACTGCCACTCCATTGCCTCGACCGCACATGCCTGGGGTTGCCTGCGCCCCCAATGCACGGTCAGTGCCACTCAGGGCCAATGTGGCCGCCTCCTGAGAGATTCTATGATCGTCAGTAGCAGGAGGAGCAGCAGGAACAGGAGGAGCAGGAGGAGCAGGAGGAGCAGCAGGAGCAGGAGGAGCAGGAGGAGCAGCAGGAGCAGGAGGAGCAGCAGGAGCAGGAGGAGCAGCAGGAGCAGGAGGAGCAGCAGGAGCAGGAGGAGCAGGAGGCGCAGCAGCACCAGTGGCAGCAGCAGCGCCAGCAGAAGCAGAAGCGGCAGGAGCAGACGCACCAGCAGCAACGGTAATGAGGTGGGGTGTAAGATGAGTAGCTAGAGAGGCAGAGGGACCACTGCTTGCACTGGGTGATGACTGTGACATGCTTGGTGCTGCAATGGGGCTTGCGTGTTTGGATTGGGCAGAGTTACACGTGACAGTGCCCATTGTGTTGAGAGCGTTGGTAATGGTGGGAGTGTTATGGGAGGTACAACTGTTGGGAGTGGTGGGAGTGGTGGGAATGTTGGGAGTGGTGGGAGCGCTGGGAGTGGTGGGAGTGGTTGGTGAGTAGGAGGGACACAAGGGAAGGGTTTTGAGTGACTGAGGGGATTCTTGTGACTGGGGAAACTTGAGTGACCGTCGGGACTTGAGTTCCCGGGGGGACTTGAGTTCCCGGGGGGACTTGAGTGAGCAGGGGGACGTCACAGCTCGCCAGAGGGCTGCTGCAGCGCTGCTGCCAGCCTTGTGGAGGGCCGATGGGCTCAGCAGCACACCACCACCCCGCTGTCCTTTCGCCTCTCTCCTTCTGAGCCCTCCCTGTGCCACGTCCTCATTTTGGCTGCCTCCTCCTCCTCCTGTTGCCCGTGCTCCTCCTGCTCCTCCTGCTCCGCCTGCTCCCCCCGCTCCCCCTGCTGCTCCTCCTGCCTGCTCACATCGACTTTGCTCCGTGTCCGCACCAAACAGCGGCAGAAGCGCCGCCAGCAGCGCTGGCTTACGCAGGGGCTTCCTTATAACAGCATCAAAGCCAAGTGACAATAGCGAGGGGATGGACGGGGAGGGGGTGAGAGAGAGCGCAGGCGAGGGCGAGAGGTGGGCTGCAGCAGCAGGGATTGGCGGAGAGGGAGAGAGGGAAAAAGCGGGAGACCTGCTTCTCCTGCTGCTCCTGCTGTTGCTTCGGCAGCCCCTTGTGACGTCATTGCAGTCACGATCACTGTTTTTAGATGTCTCAAAAGGCGAGGGCGAGAGGTGAGCTGTAGTGTTAGGGATGGTTGGAGAGGGAGAGAGGGACAGAGCAGGAGACCTGCTTCTCCTGCTGCTCCTGCTGCCTTGGCAACCCATCGTCCCATCGTTACAGTCACCCGGTTTACACTCACTATCACCCCCCTCATCCCTTTCATCTATCTCCCCTGCTTGCCTTTTCCAGCTGCCCTGCCTCTCCAAGTTACAAGCCTTCCTCTTGTAAGGACTGAAACTGTCGGGGGGGAGAGGAGAAGAGCCGTGAAGAAGCACAAGGAAAGGAGCAGGCCAGCTGCTGCTGCTGCTGCAACTGCTGCACTTGCTACACTTGCTCATCTGCTCGCCTTCCCGTGCCATCCCATCCCCTGCCTGGCCGGACACGAGAGCATAGACTTGATCTGCTGTGACGCCCAGCCGCTGCATCATCTCCCCCTCCACCACCACCGCCCCCACCCATCCCCGCCTGTGCGCGTCTCGCAAACTCCTGTAGTGCACCCGCTGCTGCGAGTTTTGAGAATTCTTTGAATCGTGCTGCTGTACCTGCCTCTCTCCATCCTCCTCCCCTCCTTCCTCCTCTTCCTCCACCTCCTCTCCTTCTTCTTCCCCATCTTCCCCCTCTTCCATCTCTTTCGCTCGCCTCGGCTGCTGTTGCCACCGCTGCTGCTGCAGCTGCTGCCACTGCTGCTCCTCCCCTCTTCCACTTGAGTGAACATCGATGGAAAGAGGAGAGAGGCGCGGACGGGCAATGGAGAAAGGAGGGCAGGAAGGAGGAGGAGCAATGGAGAGAGGAGGGCAGGGAGGAGGAGGAGCAATGGAGAGAGGTGGGCAGGAGTATTGTCGGGAAAGGGGGGTGAGAGGTGGAGGAGTCACAAGCACAGCCGGCGAGCCAAACGGCTCGAGAGGAGGAGCAGACGGGTCGAGAGCATGGGCAACTGGGTTGAGGGGAGGAGCAGAAGGCTCGAAAGGAGGAGGTAACTCCTCAATAGAATGACATGAGTGGTTGCTGGATGGTCCTGTGTGGGCTTGTGCGCACGAGTCTTCTGGAAGCAGCGGGACCAGAGACAGATCACGAGGTGTGGGGCGTGTTGTGGCAGAAGCCAATATGAGTGCTCCGATGGATCGTTGAATGGTGGGTAGTGTGCGGCGTGACAGGGCAGTGTGTGACTTGACGCGGCGCGGAGGGGGGCGAGGGGTCGGTGGTGAGGGTTCATGGGCTTCTTTGTAAGCATCACAAGTCGTGGAGGACGCGGTTACAAGGGCTCCGAAGGATCGTTGAATGGTGGGTAGTGCGCGGGGTGACACGGCAGTGCTCGACTTGACGCGGCGAGGGGGAGCGTGAGGGGTTGGAGGAACCGATTTTCGAGTCGACCCAAAAAATGTCTCATCACACGTGGGTAGTGTGCGGCGTGACAGGGCAGTGTGTGACTTGACGCGGCGAGGGGGAGCGTGAGGGGTCGGAGGAGACGGATCGTGGGATTGTTCATGTGCCTCAGAAGTTTCGGAAGAAGCGTTTAGAAGGAGCTCAGTGGAGCGTTGAGAGGTGGGGAGTGGGAGGCATGACAGGGCAGTGTGAGACTTGACGCGACGGGGGGGAGGGGGAGGAGTATGAGGAGACGATGGGCGGGGTCTTTGAGGTGCCTCAGAGATTGTATGGGAAGAGACGGCTAGAGGGGGAGGAGGAGGGGCCTCAAAAAGCCCAATGAGGGTTCCAATGGAGCGTTGAGCGGTGGGAGTGAGGCATGGCGATAGAGCTGTGTGGGTCTTGGCGCGGCGCGGAGGGGGCGGGGTACGAGGAGACAGCGGTGGGTGGGGTGCTGCTGTTGAGGGTGTGAGAGAGACGGTGCGAGGAGCACAATGGGGGTGGATGGCTGTGGGAGCAGGTGAGAGGAGGCGAGCGAGGTATTTTGCAGCAAGAGATGGCTCAGAGGAGAAGTCCACCTTGTGTTGCTCCTTCTCATGCTGGTCCTTCTGCTGCTCCTTCTCCTGCTGCTCCCCCGGCTTCCCCCCCTGCTGCTCCTCCCGGTGCTCCCCCTGCTGCTCCCCCTGCTGCTCCCCCTGCTGCTCCCCCTGCTGCTTGCCCTGCTGCTCCCCCTGCTGCTCCTTGGGAGCGTGTGTGGCATGACTCGATGACCCATGGTGAGTGACATGACATGAGGCATGCCCCGTTGCATCAGATGAGTCATTGTGCATGGCATGGCACGTGCTGTGCTGCATGGGATGACATGAGGCATGATGCAAGGCACGGTGTTGGGCGAGGAGGCGGGGGAGGAGGTGGAAGGAGGGGCAGGGGAGGGTGCAGAGGCCAAGGCGGCGCAGCAGAGAGAGAGTGACGGCATGCCGCACCGCCCGGTCGTCCACACTCACCACGCACACTCCCTCCCATCCCCAGGGAGTGTTAGAAGGGATGGCAGGGAATTTCAGGGAGGCCGGGGAGGCAAACCCAGGCAGAGGAGGAGGGAGAGAGACAGAGAACACAGGCGGGATAGAGGCATGCAGAGGACGAGTGTGGGGTTGAGGAGGAGTGTGGGGTTGAGGAGGAGTGTGGGGTTGAGGAGGAGTGTGGGGCTGAGGAGGAGTGTGGGGTTGAGGAGGAGTGTGGGGTTGAGGAGGAGGAGGAGGAGGAGGGGAGGAAGGATGGAGAGGGAGAGGGGGTGTGTGGAGGAGGATATCGAAGAGGAAGGTGGTGCCGACGCCTGGCTTCGAGACAAACGAGATGGATCCGCCCATCAGCGACACCAGGCGCTGCTCGGATGGGCGAGTGGGAGGGAGGGGCAGAGCGGGATTAGGAAGGATACAGGCAGGCGCCTGGTGATGGATGCCGTCATCAGCGACACCAGGCGCTGCTCGGATGGGCGAGTGGGAGGGAGGGGCAGAGCGGGATTAGGAAGGATACGGGCAGGCGCCTGGTGATGGATGCCGTCATCAGCGACACCAGGCGCTGCTCGGATGGGGAATGCGGAGGAGCAAGGGAGGGGTGTGAGGGGCAACGCATGTGCCTCAGTGCAATGTATGTTCCAAAGCAGGTGAATTGATGTGGACCTTGAAAGACAGCTATCTCTACGCAATGAACTTAATTCATAACACCCACCGCACCTTGCAGATGGAGAGCCCAATGCACCGCACCTTGCAGATGGAGAGCTCAATGCACCGCACCTTGCAGATGGAGAGCCCAATGCACCGCACCTTGCAGATGGAGAGCCCAATGCACCGCACCTTGCAGATGGAGAGCCCAATGCACCGCACCTTGCAGATGGAGAGCCCAATGCACCGCACCTTGCAGATGGAGAGCCCAATGCACCGCACCTTGCAGATGGAGAGCCCAATGCACCGCACCTTGCAGATGGAGAGCCCAATGCACCGCACCTTGCAGATGGAGAGCCCAATGCACCGCACCTTGCAGATGGAGAGCCCAATGCACCGCACCTTGCAGATGGAGAGCCCAATGCACCGCACCTTGCAGATGGAGAGCCCAATGCACCGCACCTTGCAGATGGAGAGCCCAATGCCCCGCACCTTGCAGATGGAGAGCCCAATGCACCGCACCTTGCAGATGGAGAGCCCAATGCCCCGCACCTTGCAGATGGAGAGCCCAATGCACCGCACCTTGCAGATGGAGAGCCCAATGCACCGCACCTTGCAGATGGAGAGCCCAATGCACCGCACCTTGCAGATGGAGAACCCAATGCACCGCACCTTGCAGATGGAGAGCCCAATGCACCGCACCTTGCAGATGGAGAGCCCAATGCACCGCACCTTGCAGATGGAGAGCCCAATGCACCGCACCTTGCAGATGGAGAGCCCAATGCGCCGCACCTTGCAGATGGAGAGCCCAATGCACCGCACCTTGCAGATGGAGAGCCCAATGCACCGCACCTTGCAGATGGAGAGCTCAATGCACCGCACCTTGCAGATGGAGAGCCCAATGCACCGCACCTTGCAGATGGAGAGCCCAATGCACCGCACCTTGCAGATGGAGAGCTCAATGCACCGCACCTTGCAGATGGAGAGCCCAATGCACCGCACCTTGCAGATGGAGAGCCCAATGCCCCGCACCTTGCAGATGGAGAGCCCAATGCACCGCACCTTGCAGATGGAGAGCCCAATGCACCGCACCTTGCAGATGGAGAGCCCAATGCACCGCACCTTGCAGATGGAGAGCCCAATGCACCGCACCTTGCAGATGGAGAGCCCAATGCACCGCACCTTGCAGATGGAGAGCCCAATGCACCGCACCTTGCAGATGGAGAGCCCAATGCACCGCACCTTGCAGATGGAGAGCTCAATGCACCGCACCTTGCAGATGGAGAGCCCAATGCACCGCACCTTGCAGATGGAGAGCCCAATGCACCGCACCTTGCAGATGGAGAGCCCAATGCCCCGCACCTTGCAGATGGAGAGCCCAATGCACCGCACCTTGCAGATGGAGAGCCCAATGCACCGCACCTTGCAGATGGAGAGCCCAATGCACCGCACCTTGCAGATGGAGAGCCCAATGCACCGCACCTTGCAGATGGAGAGCCCAATGCACCGCACCTTGCAGATGGAGAGCCCAATGCACCGCACCTTGCAGATGGAGAGCTCAATGCACCGCACCTTGCAGATGGAGAGCCCAATGCACCGCACCTTGCAGATGGAGAGCCCAATGCACCGCACCTTGCAGATGGAGAGCCCAATGCACCGCACCTTGCAGATGGAGAGCCCAATGCACCGCACCTTGCAGATGGAGAGCCCAATGCGCCGCACCTTGCAGATGGAGAGCCCAATGCACCGCACCTTGCAGATGGAGAGCCCAATGCACCGCACCTTGCAGATGGAGAGCTCAATGCACCGCACCTTGCAGATGGAGAGCCCAATGCACCGCACCTTGCAGATGGAGAGCCCAATGCACCGCACCTTGCAGATGGAGAGCTCAATGCACCGCACCTTGCAGATGGAGAGCCCAATGCACCGCACCTTGCAGATGGAGAGCCCAATGCCCCGCACCTTGCAGATGGAGAGCCCAATGCACCGCACCTTGCAGATGGAGAGCCCAATGCACCGCACCTTGCAGATGGAGAGCCCAATGCACCGCACCTTGCAGATGGAGAGCCCAATGCACCGCACCTTGCAGATGGAGAGCCCAATGCACCGCACCTTGCAGATGGAGAGCCCAATGCACCGCACCTTGCAGATGGAGAGCCCAATGCGCCGCACCTTGCAGATGGAGAGCCCAATGCACCGCACCTTGCAGATGGAGAGCCCAATGCACCGCACCTTGCAGATGGAGAGCTCAATGCACCGCACCTTGCAGATGGAGAGCCCAATGCACCGCACCTTGCAGATGGAGAGCCCAATGCACCGCACCTTGCAGATGGAGAACCCAATGCACCGCACCTTGCAGATGGAGAGCCCAATGCACCGCACCTTGCAGATGGAGAGCCCAATGCACCGCACCTTGCAGATGGAGAGCCCAATGCACCGCACCTTGCAGATGGAGAGCCCAATGCGCCGCACCTTGCAGATGGAGAGCCCAATGCACCGCACCTTGCAGATGGAGAGCCCAATGCACCGCACCTTGCAGATGGAGAGCTCAATGCACCGCACCTTGCAGATGGAGAGCCCAATGCACCGCACCTTGCAGATGGAGAGCCCAATGCACCGCACCTTGCAGATGGAGAGCTCAATGCACCGCACCTTGCAGATGGAGAGCCCAATGCACCGCACCTTGCAGATGGAGAGCCCAATGCCCCGCACCTTGCAGATGGAGAGCCCAATGCACCGCACCTTGCAGATGGAGAGCCCAATGCACCGCACCTTGCAGATGGAGAGCCCAATGCACCGCACCTTGCAGATGGAGAGCCCAATGCACCGCACCTTGCAGATGGAGAGCCCAATGCACCGCACCTTGCAGATGGAGAGCTCAATGCACCGCACCTTGCAGATGGAGAGCCCAATGCACCGCACCTTGCAGATGGAGAGCCCAATGCACCGCACCTTGCAGATGGAGAGCCCAATGCACCGCACCTTGCAGATGGAGAGCCCAATGCACCGCACCTTGCAGATGGAGAGCTCAATGCACCGCACCTTGCAGATGGAGAGCCCAATGCACCGCACCTTGCAGATGGAGAGCCCAATGCACCGCACCTTGCAGATGGAGAGCCCAATGCACCGCACCTTGCAGATGGAGAGCCCAATGCACCGCACCTTGCAGATGGAGAACCCAATGCACCGCACCTTGCAGATGGAGAGCCCAATGCACCGCACCTTGCAGATGGAGAGCCCAATGCACCGCACCTTGCAGATGGAGAGCCCAATGCACCGCACCTTGCAGATGGAGAGCCCAATGCACCGCACCTTGCAGATGGAGAACCCAATGCACCGCACCTTGCAGATGGAGAGCCCAATGCACCGCACCTTGCAGATGGAGAGCCCAATGCACCGCACCTTGCAGATGGAGAGCCCAATGCACCGCACCTTGCAGATGGAGAGCCCAATGCGCCGCACCTTGCAGATGGAGAGCCCAATGCACCGCACCTTGCAGATGGAGAGCCCAATGCACCGCACCTTGCAGATGGAGAGCTCAATGCACCGCACCTTGCAGATGGAGAGCCCAATGCACCGCACCTTGCAGATGGAGAGCCCAATGCACCGCACCTTGCAGATGGAGAGCTCAATGCACCGCACCTTGCAGATGGAGAGCCCAATGCACCGCACCTTGCAGATGGAGAGCCCAATGCCCCGCACCTTGCAGATGGAGAGCCCAATGCACCGCACCTTGCAGATGGAGAGCCCAATGCACCGCACCTTGCAGATGGAGAGCCCAATGCACCGCACCTTGCAGATGGAGAGCCCAATGCACCGCACCTTGCAGATGGAGAGCCCAATGCACCGCACCTTGCAGATGGAGAGCTCAATGCACCGCACCTTGCAGATGGAGAGCCCAATGCACCGCACCTTGCAGATGGAGAGCCCAATGCACCGCACCTTGCAGATGGAGAGCCCAATGCACCGCACCTTGCAGATGGAGAGCCCAATGCACCGCACCTTGCAGATGGAGAGCCCAATGCACCGCACCTTGCAGATGGAGAGCTCAATGCACCGCACCTTGCAGATGGAGAGCCCAATGCACCGCACCTTGCAGATGGAGAGCCCAATGCACCGCACCTTGCAGATGGAGAGCCCAATGCACCGCACCTTGCAGATGGAGAGCCCAATGCACCGCACCTTGCAGATGGAGAGCCCAATGCACCGCACCTTGCAGATGGAGAGCCCAATGCACCGCACCTTGCAGATGGAGAGCCCAATGCACCGCACCTTGCAGATGGAGAGCCCAATGCACCGCACCTTGCAGATGGAGAGCTCAATGCACCGCACCTTGCAGATGGAGAGCCCAATGCACCGCACCTTGCAGATGGAGAGCCCAATGCACCGCACCTTGCAGATGGAGAGCCCAATGCACCGCACCTTGCAGATGGAGAGCCCAATGCACCGCACCTTGCAGATGGAGAGCTCAATGCACCGCACCTTGCAGATGGAGAGCCCAATGCACCGCACCTTGCAGATGGAGAGCCCAATGCACCGCACCTTGCAGATGGAGAGCTCAATGCACCGCACCTTGCAGATGGAGAGCCCAATGCACCGCACCTTGCAGATGGAGAGCCCAATGCACCGCACCTTGCAGATGGAGAGCCCAATGCACCGCACCTTGCAGATGGAGAGCCCAATGCACCGCACCTTGCAGATGGAGAGCCCAATGCACCGCACCTTGCAGATGGAGAGCCCAATGCACCGCACCTTGCAGATGGAGAGCCCAATGCACCGCACCTTGCAGATGGAGAGCCCAATGCACCGCACCTTGCAGATGGAGAGCCCAATGCACCGCACCTTGCAGATGGAGAGCCCAATGCACCGCACCTTGCAGATGGAGAGCCCAATGCACCGCACCTTGCAGATGGAGAGCCCAATGCACCGCACCTTGCAGATGGAGAGCCCAATGCACCGCACCTTGCAGATGGAGAGCCCAATGCACCGCACCTTGCAGATGGAGAGCCCAATGCACCGCACCTTGCAGATGGAGAGCCCAATGCACCGCACCTTGCAGATGGAGAGCCCAATGCACCGCACCTTGCAGATGGAGAGCCCAATGCACCGCACCTTGCAGATGGAGAGCCCAATGCACCGCACCTTGCAGATGGAGAGCCCAATGCACCGCACCTTGCAGATGGAGAGCCCAATGCACCGCACCTTGCAGATGGAGAGCCCAATGCACCGCACCTTGCAGATGGAGAGCCCAATGCACCGCACCTTGCAGATGGAGAGCCCAATGCACCGCACCTTGCAGATGGAGAGCCCAATGCCCCGCACCTTGCAGATGGAGAGCCCAATGCACCGCACCTTGCAGATGGAGAGCCCAATGCACCGCACCTTGCAGATGGAGAGCCCAATGCACCGCACCTTGCAGATGGAGAGCCCAATGCACCGCACCTTGCAGATGGAGAGCCCAATGCCCGTTCCCCCGTGCAGCCGTGCCGTGCTGCGGTCCGCCTGCGCGTACGGCCGGAAGATGTGCCTCCGAGCGTGGCGGGGGATGCCGGTACCTGGCAGCGATTGACAGGGCCGGGCAGTGAAGGCATAGAACATATACCCAAAATATGAATTCCTAAATTAAGAAATGCATCAATACATAAATACATATATAGCTAAATAAATGAGTAAACAAATAATAAGAACAGGATGGGAATGAGGAGAAAGAGGTGTTGCATAGGCCTGCCTCTTGCTGCAGTTTTGAGGCATCTTAAAAATCGATGCCGTTACACAACAAGTCCAGGCATTTCAAGGTGGAAGGAATGGTAAAGACAAGAAAATGCACCGGACAGATGCTCTTGCCCAGTGTTTCACCACATCCTGTGTGGCATGTGGGAAGATAGTGTGGAGCATATGTTGACCACAATACGAAACAGCAAACAAACAAACCACTAAACACATGCACGCAACGCAAGCACATGGAAGCCCACGCACGTGCGGGTGCACATGCAGACACACACACAAGCAGCAATGACAGCGTACCAGTGTCTTCAATGGCCACCATCAGTCGCACAGGCTGGTCGGGTCCCAGGCTGGCACCACTGCCACGCCCATCGCCATATCCCTCGCCATCCCCATCACCATATGGTCCATGCCTATTGCCATTCTCGGTATGGTTCCCCTTGCCCATGGCCTTGCCCATGCCCATGCCCACGGCACCAAGATCCATGTGCTCCCGCATGCCCTCCCACGAGCACCATGTCTTCATGGCTGGCCGGCCACTAAGCGTCACACACGCTGCAGGCTCAGAACATGCCTCCGGACGCTCAGTAAAAGCCTCCGCAACGGCATTACTACCACCACTCCTCTCATCTGCAGCAGCAGCAGCAGCAGCAGCAGCGGCCCCGGTGGCCTCAGGTGGATTTTCCCCCTCTCTCCGTCTGCTTGCAGTCATGCAGCCTTTGTCAAGAGACTGGCAACTGCTGGCTGGTGCTTTGGAGAGGAATGATAAACACGATCCTGCTGCTGATGGTGATACTGCTGGTGAACCTGAGGGTGTTGCTGATGGTGAGGGAGAGTGTGAGGGTGACTGTATGGATGTGGAGGAAGAAGGGGAGAGTGGCGGCGGGGGGTTGGGGTCGCTGGTGTTGTCGGTGGTGGTTGCGACACGGACGGCAATGAAGACATGACCCTTGGTGGTGAACTTGAAGGCATTGCTAACGAGGTTGATGAGAATCTGTGGGGGAGAACAGGGAGTGTGAGGGTGGAACAAGGAGTGCGGGTGGGGCGAGCGGAGAGAGGGGGGAGAAGGCTGGGTCCATGGTGGTGAATTTGAAGGCGTTGCTAACGAGGTTGATGAGCACCTGATGGGACCAAGAGGAGGGCGGGTGGGAAGAGGCAGGTAGCGGGAGAGAAGAGGCAGGTAGCGGGAGAGAAGAGGCAGGTAGCGGGAGAGAAGAGGCAGGTAGCGGGAGAGAAGAGGCAGGTAGCGGGAGAGAAGAGGCAGGGGCTGTATGCGAAGCAGGTGCTTCATAATGCCGGTTCGAGTTCGGTACTTGCTCATTATGCCTTCTGCAAAGAACACTATACTCATACTGCACCTGCTTCACTCGAAGCGGGTCCCCAAGGAGCATCTCGGGCACGTCGTCGGCGACAAACGCGGCGAGCTCCACGCAGCGCTTCTCCTGGGCGCTCTCCACGAAGAGCGCGAGCATGTCGTCGAGCTCGGCGCGCAGGTCCAATGGGATGCACTCAAGATGCAACTTCTCGGCCTCGATCTTGGAGAGGTCGAGAATGTCGTTGATCAGCGCACACAACGCCCGCCCGCTGCTTCGCGCCGTCTGTGCGTAGTCCTTCTGCGACCCGTCCAAAGGGGTTTCCAGGAGCAAGTTCAGCATGCCTGGTGGAAAGGGGAGGAGGGAGGGAGAGAGAAATAACAAAGGAAAAGAGATTGCGATCAGCTCGTTCAAGGATGTCCAAAAGCAGCATATTAAGTGGCAATTCACTTTGCACAATATCCTGCCAACTGTAAGAACAATTGTGTTTGCGTGCTTGTTTCTATGGCTATTACTTGCGTGATTGTGTTTATAAGAACAATCGCGCTATTGAGTCACGTATATTTCGCATCAATGTGGACTGATGCGATCGTGCGCTGTCCTGCACAGGTAGAGTGATCTTGATCATCCTGTCCGGATGCGATCGTGGGACCTGCCTGCACACAGTGTCAGGGACAGGCCACATGCGCCAACCCTAAGGGGCTACACATGAGATCCGAACCTCAAGCGAAGGTCATGATTTACACGCGAACTCGGATTCAGGGCCTAAGGGGCTACAGCGAAGGTCATGATTTACACGCGCTTTTATCTTGACCAGGCGCGAGATATCCAGGGGGCAAAAACACTCGTGGCTCGTCATGGAAACTCCTGAATTTTCATGAGCCCTTATGACCAGTCATGAGCTCGCAACGAATGTGAATCCATGACCGGATGCGCACAAAACACACACAGAATGCAAGACGATAGGCAAGCGGCTGGTTGACGTGCAAAATTATATATGCACCCAACATGTTCACCAACTTTATCAGCTGCAACTATATCCCTCCACAGAGATTCTGTTGCTTCGGATTATTTAATATATTTTCATCCCATATTGTTTTATAGTTTACTCGTATGACCTTTGCTAACTTATTGTTTTTACACAACTCGATGACGAAATGTTATCACGGTGAACGCTAGAACGCTAGCAACACGACAGTACAGAAACGTTGATTGCACTAGAATTTTGAAGCTTTGATACAGTCGATTCTCTGTTGAATCTGACCGACGACCTTCACACGATCCACTGCGTGACGTTGCCACATTGCCTTACCATGCTATCGCATCACATACCAAATTACCGTGTTACCATGTTATCACGTTACCTATGACGCCGTTCATTGGTGTGCGGATCTCATGTGACATCGTTGTGAGGAAGTCACCCTTGGCTCGGCTCGCCTTCTCAGCCTCCACGCGGGCGGCACGCAGCTCATGTTGGGCGGCAGCCAGGTGCTGGCAGTCGCACTCAAAGGCGTGCATGAGCTGGATGCTCGTCCAGAGGAGGATGGTGGAGACGGTCAGGAACAGCACCGCCACCACTATCCAGGTGAACGGACCGAACGGCTTGGCGTATGAGATGTGCCTGCGGTGGGACGGAGGGCGCAGGGTGGAAGGAGGCGCGCATGAGCTGAATGCACGTCCAGAGGAGGATGGTGGAGACGGTCAGGAACAGCACCGCCACCACGATTTACGTCGATGCATGTATGTATGTATGTATGTAAGTAAACATGTCTTTTGAATGCACAGATGAATGCACGATGAAGGCGAGTATAATAAATGCATAATGTCTACAGACATGGCCAGGCACAGCCGCATGGACAGGACAGGTCGACTCACTCGCAGAAAAGATAAAACTTTCTCGTCGAATCACCCAGGTGCACCGCACGGCGCACTCTCCCTCCATCCTCTTGCCCTTTCCCATCCAGCATCCACGTTCCAATCTCCTCCTCGCCCACCACCCCTTCATGATCAAACAGCAGCGCCGGCAACCACTTCACAACCTTCGCATCCCCACTCCGTGCACCATCCCACGCCCTACCCCTCGTCCCATCCACCAGATAAACCCTCGCATTCAGCTCCACCAGCTGCTGAAACCCCACAAGCGACCGCAGGTTGGCAAAGTTATACCCCACGATGACAAACCCCCGTGGGAGGTCCTCAGGCGTGGCGAGCGGGGGAATGGCGACCGGAGGAGGGGAGGGCGAGGGGGGCAGGGCGAAGGTGGTGAGGTTGAAGTAGACTGGGAAGGCCTGGCCGATGAAGTGGTAGGGGTAGTTGTCGCGGACGAAAGGAGGGGAGATGGCGGAGGATGCTGAGCTGATGACCCGATGGAATGTGTCATTAAAAGCTGGGTCTGAAAGGGGTGGTGGGAGGCAGTGGGATGCGGTGGGGAGGGGGGGAAGAAGTATTAGTTGAAGGGGGGAAAGGATCAGCAGGGGAGTGGGGAGATGGTGTGGTGACACTGGTTATGGCGAGCGCTGCGAACGAGGATTACGAGAGGGAGAGAGGGAGAGAGGCAGAGAGAGAGAGAGAGAGAGAGAGAGAGAGAGAGAGAGAGAGAGAGAGAGAGAGAGAGAGAGAGAGAGAGAGGAAACCCCTTAGCCCTCTGCCCTCTGCCTCATCCCTCTGCCCTCCGCCCTCCAGAGCTATTTAAGGGCTGTTCCTCTCTCCTTCTCCTCATTATTTCGTGTGGAGTTCATTTCCGGCGGGAGAGAGCGAGAGAGAGAGAGAGAGAGGAAACCCCTTAGCCCTCTGCCCTCTGCCTCATCCCTCTGCCCTCCGCCCTCCAGAGCTATTTAAGGGCTGTTCCTCTCTCCTTCTCCTCATTATTTCGTGTGGAGTTCATTTCCGGCGGGAGAGAGCGAGAGAGAGAGAGAGAGAGAGAGAGAGAGAGAGGAAACCCCTTAGCCCTCTGCCCTCTGCCTCATCCCTCTGCCCTCCGCCCTCCAGAGCTATTTAAGGGCTGTTCCTCTCTCCTTCTCCTCATTATTTCGTGTGGAGTTCATTTCCGGCGGCTCGCGCCGGCGGCCGCGCTCCTGGTGGCAAGGAACAAGGCGGTGGACTGCCATACCAGGAAGAACACGCATGCAAAGGAATCAAGGGAGCAGAGCCTAGGCAAGAGAGAACGGCATGCAATATTACACGCGGCGGAGGCCTACATCGTGTACGGCTCCGCCCCCTCCATCTCAAGCATCGAGCGCATGCACACCGATATTATTGAGAGGGAGGGAGAGAAAGGGCAAAGAGGTTCAGTGCACAAAGAACTACTAGATGCCCTACAAGATACCTTCACGTGGCTCTTCTATCAGCCAAGCCCTTCGACTCACTCACCTGCCAGCCATGACGTCCAGGCAGAAGAGTGCAGTGAGGTTCACGGCACAAAGAACTACAAGATGCGCCGCAAGATTTCATCACGTGGCTCTTCTACCACCAGCTCGGCCCTTTGACTCACTCACCTGCCATGATGTCCAAGCAGCACACTGCTGAGAGGTTCACGGCATAAAGTACAACATGGCCTGCGAGCAACCTCATGAACCCCTCGCAGCAGAAGACCAGCTCTGCTGTTTGGCTCACCTGCCATGACGTCCAGGCAGCAGACTGCAGAGAGGTTCACGCGTGTGTTGAACTCCTTGCGAGAGTTGAAGATCACCAGCGGTGAATACAGGGGCAGGTCGCGCGGGCGGCAGGCGAGCGTGCCATTGGGTTTGGGAGAGAAGATACAGTGGTGGGCGTTTTCCTCCACTAAGTCACGAATGAAGGTGTTGTTCACCAGGAGTGTGAAGCCCACGACTGGCCGCAGGGAGGGGGAGGGGGGAGAGAGGGGGGGAGGTGATGGGGTGGGGGGGGCAACGAGGGGAAACACAAGGGGGAAGAGCACAGGCGAGCGTGCCGTTGGGTCCGGGAGCGAAGATGCAGTGGTGGGCGTTTTTCTCCACTATATCGCGAATGAAGGTGATGTTTACCAGGAGTGTGAAGCCCACGACTGCAGGGGACAAAGGGGGGATGTGGGGGGAAAGGGAAGACGGGTGGGAACAGCACAGGAGAGTGCGCTGTTGGGTTTTGGGGTGAAGATGCAGTTGGGCTCCGTTGGCGTTGGTCCCCATTATCTCCCGAATGAACGAGTTGTTGGCCAGCAGCGTGAAGCCCACAACTGCAGGAGACGTGAAGGGAAACGCAGGGGCAAACGCAGGGGCAAACGCAGGGGCAAACGCAGGGGCAAACGCAGGGGCAAACGCAGGGGCAAACGCAGGGGCAAACGCAGCGCAACGTGGATTGGAATTGGGGACGGGAGAGAACAGGCAACTCACATGAGGCCATGGGTCAGTCAGAGCACAGCACATACAACTGGTCAAGTGTAAAGGAACAGTTCTCTTGCAGCTAGCAGCAACTCACATGAGGCCATGGGTCAGTCAGAGCATCACATGATGCCATGGGTCGACCACCATCAAGAGCGGCCTGAGTGCAACCACCCTAAACCCTGAACTCACTCACATGATGCCATGGGTCGACGACCATCAAGAGCGGCCTGAGTGCAACCACCCTAAACCCTGAACTCACTCACATGATGCCATGGGTCGACGACCATCAAGAGCGGCCTGAGTGCAACCACCCTAAACCCTGAACTCACTCACATGATGCCATGGGTCGACGACCATCAAGAGCGGCCTGAGTGCAACCACCCTAAACCCTGAACTCACTCACATGATGCCATGGGTCGACGACCATCAAGAGCGGCCTGAGTGCAACCACCCTAAACCCTGAACTCACTCACATGATGCCATGGGTCGACGACCATCAAGAGCGGCCTGAGTGCAACCACCCTAAACCCTGAACTCACTCACATGATGCCATGGGTCGACGACCATCAAGAGCGGCCTGAGTGCAACCACCCTAAACCCTGAAATCACTCACATGATGCCATGGGTCGACGACCATCAAGAGCGGCCTGAGTGCAACCACCCTAAACCCTGAACTCACTCACATGATGCCATGGGTCGACGACCATCAAGAGCGGCCTGAGTGCAACCACCCTAAACCCTGAACTCACTCACATGATGCCATGGGTCGACGACCATCAAGAGCGGCCTGAGTGCAACCACCCTAAACCCTGAACTCACTCACATGATGCCATGGGTCGACGACCATCAAGAGCGGCCTGAGTGCAACCACCCTAAACCCTGAACTCACTCACATGATGCCATGGGTCGACGACCATCAAGAGCGGCCTGAGTGCAACCACCCTAAACCCTGAACTCACTCACATGATGCCATGGGTCGACGACCATCAAGAGCGGCCTGAGTGCAACCACCCTAAACCCTGAACTCACTCACATGATGCCATGGGTCGACGACCATCAAGAGCGGCCTGAGTGCAACCACCCTAAACCCTGAACTCACTCACATGATGCCATGGGTCGACGACCATCAAGAGCGGCCTGAGTGCAACCACCCTAAACCCTGAACTCACTCACATGATGCCATGGGTCGACGACCATCAAGAGCGGCCTGAGTGCAACCACCCTAAACCCTGAACTCACTCACATGATGCCATGGGTCGACGACCATCAAGAGCGGCCTGAGTGCAACCACCCTAAACCCTGAACTCACTCACATGATGCCATGGGTCGACGACCATCAAGAGCGGCCTGAGTGCAACCACCCTAAACCCTGAACTCACTCACATGATGCCATGGGTCGACGACCATCAAGAGCGGCCTGAGTGCAACCACCCTAAACCCTGAACTCACTCACATGATGCCATGGGTCGACGACCATCAAGAGCGGCCTGAGTGCAACCACCCTAAACCCTGAACTCACTCACATGATGCCATGGGTCGACGACCATCAAGAGCGGCCTGAGTGCAACCACCCTAAACCCTGAACTCACTCACATGATGCCATGGGTCGACGACCATCAAGAGCGGCCTGAGTGCAACCACCCTAAACCCTGAACTCACTTACATGATGCCATGGGTCGACCATCAAGAGTGGCTTGAGTGAAGCGTTGGAATTTCTCCACGTCCAGAAAGTCCTCCCTCATGCTGCTCGCCCCAAGTGGGCGGAGGGATGGGGAGGTTGGGGGGGAGGATGAGAAAGATTATTATCTTGGGTGAAAGAGAAGAGACTAATATCCTTGTGAGTGATTTTGGAGAATTCTCAAAAATCACTCAATAGTCAAGAGTGGACTGCGCTTGAGTGAACCGCTGGAATTTCTCCACGTGAAGAAAGTCCTCCCTCATGCTGCTCGCCCCGGGGGAAGGGGGAGGGAGGAGGGAGGAGGAGGGGGGGGTAGAAGCGCAAATATATTTTTAAGACGACTCAAAATTCGAGAGTGGAGTGAGTGAAGCGTGTTGGGATGTGGGCACGTCAAGAAAGTCTTCCCTCATGTTGCTTGCCCGTGGGATAGTTTCAAGGTGGAGTTTGGCTGCCCAGCCTTTCTTATCAAGGTGAAAGGGGCGGATGAAGTCGGAAATGGCTTTTGAGAGGCCTCAAAAGGCGGCTGTCCAGCCTTAGTGGGTGACTGCTCTGGCCGTACTTATCAAGGTAGTATGCGCGGATGAAGTCGGAAATGGAGCGTGTGTTGGCAGCAGTGGTGTTGAACTTGGCCTCAATGAACGCTGCCCACTCGTCACAGTGCCCCTCCAGGTCGTCTCTCTCACTCGCCTCTGCATGCTGCCATGCCGTCGCAAACACCAGTGACAGGATGGCCGCTGCCAGCACCACCCACAGCCACAGCACTCGCTGGAACAGGGGAGGGAGGGTGGAAGGAGGGGTGTGACGACAGGGGGAAAGTTGAGAGGTGCTGCCAGGCCGTCGTAAACACCAGCGACAGGATGGCCGCTGCCAGCACCACCCACATTCAGAGCACTCGCTGGAAGGTGGGAATGACGGTGGGCGGAGGAGGGTGGTGGGGCGAGAACGGACGCAAGCAACAGCTGAGAACTGGGAGGTTGCAGTTCCCTTTTTTTTCCTTTTTTTTTCCTTTTTTCCTTTTTTTTTTATATTCACACACAACGCACGCACGGCGTAGGAACCAGTACAGCACACACACGGCGTACGAACCAGGACATCAGGCACGGCGTACGAACCAGGACATCAGGCACAGCGCACGAGCCAGGACATCAGGCACGGCAGCGTCCCAGTCACCACAGCACCTCGATATTCAAGACGTTCCACAAATGGCTGAGTAAATTTATGAGGCGCCTCATGAGACACCACAGCATTGCAGCATTCGCGGCGTACCTTGCGCCACGGGTGGCTGAGTCGTCTGAGCGGCCACGACACGAACCACTCCACACTCGACACCCACGACTCCCGCCTATGGGGCCCTTCCGCTCCTTCCGCGCCCTCCGCGCCCTCCGCGCCCTCCGCGACCCCCTTTTCCACGACCCCTTGTTCCCCGAACCCCTCTTCCGCCGTCGATTCCGCCCGCATCGCCATCTCCGCCTCATTTTCCAATCCGCGGAACTCATTCCCCTCATCGTCAGACTCCTTCCCCTCCGGCCCCTCCGCCCCTTCCGCCTCCTCCGCCTCCTCCGCCCCTTCCTCCCCCTCCGCCGATTCGAGATCATTCTTGTCGTCGCTCTCGCCCACCCTCGCGACTTCCCTCCCCTCTTCCCTCGCCTCCTCCTCCTCCCCGTTCTCCTTCTCGGCCGATGCGCATGAAGCGCCATCGCAATCGCCATTGAAGCCAAAGCACGAAAACGCGGCACGCACTCCTGCCTGTGCGGGTACGCTGGAGTTACGATGAAACGATGACGTGGCACGAACGGACGAGTCGCAATCTACTTCGAGACCTGCTGCCTGTGTCGCCGACCTCGAGGCATGACATGGGGACGCGGCACGACCTGACGGATCATCCTCAGCCGCCGAAAACGGCGGCATTCGCGCAGCCTTACTTGGAATCCCTAAAAGCTGTCGTTTTTGCTGTTGCTTTGATCCGCTGACGTTCAGGGACGGGTAACAACCCCCAGGATCGTACAATACTGTATCTTCTCGCCCCGTCAGTAACCCTTCGCAATCCTCCTTCACTTCTAAATCCTTGATAGACGGCATCGCTCGATACGCTTCATGAGCTAAGGCGTCGGAATCTGCCATTAGTGCTTCGTCCGAAGAAATGTCCGAAAATACCGAGCTATCTGCGCTTAGCGTCCGGAATCCGCTCCGATGCCTTCCCACGCAAGCCGGAATTCCCGTGCAATCCATGACGATGGAGTAAGAAGAAAGAGAACACACACGACACGACGCGCAGCGCAGATGACCACGGAACGGAGGCAATGAACTGTCAATGCGAAACTAAGCTAGGCACGTGAGATGCAGTCACGCAGTCCTGGCGAAACCAAGGTTAGCCCTGACGGGATTACAACTGTGTCATGTCATGTTAGGGCGGGTCCGAAGTGAAGTCGACATCCGTTGACACCCGATGTCGGTAAATCCTGACGGTTAGAACTTTCGATCCGAGGGTAGACATTTACCGACATCCATCAACATCCATTCGACGCTTCACTTCGGACACGCTCTTATCCCTGACCCTGGGTCGCCGCCTCGCCTCAAGAAAGCGAACCTTGAAGGGCCTTGACGGAGACCGTTACGGTGCAGTACGGTTTGTCACGTCGATAGTCGTCTGGAAACATCGCGAGGGTTTTCGGTTTCCCGCTCTCGGAGTACAGCACAGGTTTCTCATGCCAGCGAGACTTACAAGGGAAATTGTTGTAGGGCCTAAAGCGTTAGGGAAGATTTAAGGCCTTGTTCGATAGCTTCACAGTCCAGGGGTAACCACAGCCATATCACAGTATTCCGTGGCTCGGTTAAGGCTCGGCAGCAGCACACATGGGCTTTAAACCCTACGAGAGGTAGGCAGATCCAAACCAGAACCTGAAGTACGTTCGGTGCACCTACGAATCTGGTGTGGGAATTTTCACCGCGGACCGCAGTCCAAACACTGCTGCCAGCTGGTCAAGAACAGTGATCCAGGGGCAAAATGGACTTTGAAGAGTTCTGTTTCACGCTTGGTGCTCAAACGACAGCGAGGCCGCTGCACTTTGGTGGGGTATTCGCGAAAATCTAAAAACAAGATTACCCTAAACCCAATAGGGTTCAATTTTCCTGTTGAGCTACTGAATTGTTTTTGTAGGGATCCGTTTTGTGCCCAGGGTACTTTTGGAGTCGAAATTCCAACAAAAAAACGGAAAATGATTTGTACTTTTGGTAGAGATTGCCGCCGGTACTAGGACCCCTTTTGTTCTGTAGTGCATTTAATGCACAGCTCTGTAGCCCATTGTTTTACATGAGGTGTACACGGTTTTGACTGTGAGGGATTTGTTTGTTTCCACAGCTGTCAAATCTGAACAATGGTCAATCAAGATTGTGCACGCAACAAGTTGACTATGGCGTGTAGTGACACTAGGTTCGGAAACCCTAGGGCCGACTCGGACATACTGTGGTGTGGCTGTACAAAACATTGCAGTGCAATCGAACGCGGCCTAAGATACTGTAAAAAAATATCAGCTGACGCTAGGTGTAAATCATGACACAATGAAATCTGTTGGATTTTGAACTGTATTCACGATCAGGCCTAAGGATTTCAGGGCATTTTACCCTGATTAGTCTGTTATTCATTGTCGGCTTTTGAAGCCGCACTGTAAATACAGGTTTGAAGGGCTCTACCACCCTGTCACGATCAGGCCTCGTGAAATTTTGACCCTGGTTTTGCAGTTGTTGGTTCTTGTAGCACACTGCCTTGGCAGAGTTCGGTACTGGCAGCACTCTGACTGAGGTTTTTCCCCCTCAGCCATTTTGAGAACTGGCTAAGTCCTGCCGGGAGACACTCACACATACACCAGAACAAGTATCGGATGTGCTCGAAAACTGGCCAAGTCCTTTCCACAGAGACACTCACACATACACCAGAACAAGCATCGGATGTGCTCGAAAATTGGCGAAGTCCTTTCCTCGGAGACACTCACACAGATTGGACCGCTGCAGCCTAGTTTAATTTTAACCCTGCCATACAAGACCAGACTTTTTCGTTTTTAGACCACAGTAATCACGGGCAATTCTTTCCTCACTTTCTCCTCGCCATGCTCTAGCGAGGAGAAAGTGAGGCTCAGTACTCAAGAAAATTTGTTGGGCATCTCGGTTTCATCGTCAAGATTACCCAGGGCATACATGTAAGACCTGTTGAAATGTACTGTTGATGTGGTTTTAATTCGTGTTGCGCGGGTTGCTTTGGTTTAGAAAATACGTATTGGGATGGGAAGTTGAGAGTTCCGATGAGATGGCAGCTGCGTTTTGGCATCTTGACCTTGGGCGTGCGATGTTTGTCGTTTTTTCCCAAATTGGGGCGTTGACTATGAACACCCCTGTCCTTTTCTCCAGCTGGCGAATCTGATTGTTTATCTGTATACAACGTACAGTTCGTCAAGTGGTGTATTGTCGTTTTTCGTCTTCATGCTCGGTGGGAGCAGCATCCTCTTCCTCTGTTTCGGGGCTCCCGAACACCACCAAGACCCCTGTTCGTGATGCCCGCAGATGAGCTATAAGCTCTGTACTGGACTGTGCTGAACTGTGACCTAGAAACCCACGGCCGCAACCAGATTCATTTGCAATTCGTCCAGGTCAACAGTTGACACGAGGAGTCGAACAAGACAACGGACGCCTTGGAAATGGAAGTTACGTACGTACAGTTCCTGCTGTTGAGAGGCTGGCGAGCCACCACAGAGATGCACGCCCGACAAAGACAGCAGTCTCGCCAAAGCTACAGCACCGTACGCACAGGTTCACGATACAAGATGCCTTGTTGGTGTGCATTTACAGAAGGGGGGTAAAAGTCACAAGTAACCAACATGGGACTCCATAATGTTATGAATGAACTTGCAGAGTGCGCAGTAAAACGAATATCGAGAATGAACTGAGTACTGAATTAGGGCGTATCCCTGGGTGGTGGCAGGGCCACTGTAGATGGCAGCCTGCCACGAACACATAAAACGTCAGGTTGGTGTCAGGAAATTTGGCGCGCGAATACAAGTGCTTGATTGGGCAATGTCCCAAAAATGTCACTTCAATGCCACCAAATACGAGTCGCGCGCGCCTCGGTAAAAATGTTGGTGGCATGCGGTTTTCCCGCATGCCACCAACTCTGCCATCTACAGTGGCCCTGCCACCACCCAGGGATACGCCCTTACATAATCACTGAATGAACAATGAAGTAGCGAGGCCTAAATAGGGGAAAAGCTAGCTAGGCGGGGAGGTTGGGCGAGGATGGCTCGGTGATGGTTGCGATTGGAGCGGAGGCCGATTCGGGAGTGGTTCGGTGCGACGAAATAGGAAGGTCAGGTTCGTCGCGTGACCCTCGGGATGGCCTCGCTAACGAGTGCCTCATTAAGGATTTGTAAATCCTTACACTCTCCCACCTTCTAAATAAGGCAGCCCTGTACTGAAAACAGGCCCCACACTAGCAAGGATGCCGTAGATCTCCCCTTCAGCTGAATCCGACGGCTGAAATGCTTTTTGACAATTTTTTGAGAAGGTTGGAATGTAGGCCGTTGATGAAGTACGATTTCGATCTGACGGTCGAAGATGAACTGGCCCAATATGAAGTAGAGGTTGGAATGTGGGCCGTTGATCGAGCAAATGTAGATCTGACGGTCGAAGATGTCGCGGATGTGGAGGGAAACTGCTGACGCGAAATTCAATCGCGATGTAGCAGAAGCCGTCGATCTTGTCGGTGTGATCGCGGTCGTCCGTCGTGCTGACGCAACCTGACAAAGTTAGAAAGGACCGATAAAACGCCAAGGAAAGAGCAGTGCAGCGCACTTCTCCCCCCCTCAAAGAAAAGACACCAGAAAATGTTTCACTGCTGCGCCAAGATGAAAACCAACAAAAAGCCAGTCCCACGAATAAGAGCGTCGGATGTAAAAGTCCAGGCGATATGTCGTCGGTGTGGAAATGTCGATGGCGAACCCAGGTTTACGTGCCCCAAAAAGTTTGTTTTTGTCTTCACAAGCCAGAATCATGCAGTATCTTGAGCTGATGCAGCTGGCAGCACCTGACGTGTTTGAAATCAGTGCTGTTGTCGTGGGCGGGTCGAGTGGATGGATTTGTCGCTAGTAGAGTTGGAGCGGCTGTATCCCGAATCCTCTGGCCGTGAAGTCGGGGTTGGTACGAAAATGTCGTCGGTGAAGGCGATTCGTCGTAAAGTCAAATACGAGCGTCGGCGAAATTCGTTGAAGCAGTAACCGAAATCGAATGTCACTCCGAAATTGATGTCGAACGCCAGTCCAATGTCAGATGATGTCGGCACCTCCAGCGGTGTTGTCCAGACTCGCCGAGCCATTTGTCGTAGTGCGCCGATGACTCCTGGGCAGGTATGGAAAATTACAGCTTGTGAAAAGAATGAACAAGAATGAGAATGACTAAGTCAGAGTTGGGTACAAATACAACCCTAGAAAGTTGTACCCCATATGTGCTACCCCACTATAGCCTACAAACATGCATCAACTATAATACTCTGACACACCCCCATAGGCTAAGTGGGGGAGAACAAGGGGTCACAAGACCAGTCAAGCAAAGCAACGCAAAGCAAGCTCAGGGTGGATCACAAAGTCACCACACAGTCCGAGCACAAGAGCAGGGCCAGAGGCCAGTTCACATGCAGGAGTACAGACATATATATAAAACTAGACAAGCAAGAGCAGGTATATATATCTGTCACAGTACAAGTGAAGTCAAGAGGAGAGCAAGTGAGGCAAGACAGGTACAAGACCCAGCTGGGTGCAAAAGCGCTGATGGTCACATGGCGCCAGTGCCTTGGTGAACACATCACCAGTGTTGGCCTCAGAGGCCATGTACGCAAGTCGCAACTGACCACGCTGCTTCAGCTCACG